CTGGGGGGCATTTACTATTACCAGTTCGGAGGGGCTTACAGTGGTTTCGATGGTGCTGATGGGGAGAAAGCACAGCAGCTGGACATCCAGTTCTACCAGCTAAAGCTGCCCACGGTCACAGCGGTAATGGCCTACAGTGGAGCCCTTATGGCCTTCTGCTGCCTCCTCATCGCCATGGGCGTCCTGCGGGTCCCGTGGCATTGCCCCCTGTGGCTGCTGGTTGAAGGCTTGCTGGATGTGCTTATCGCCGGGGCCTATGTGCCAGCTCTGTACTTTTACTTCCACTCCCTCTCCGCAGCCTACGCCTCTCCCGTGTGCAAGGAGAGGGAGGCGCTCTACCAGAGCAAAGGCTACCGCGGCTTCAGCTGCACTTTCCATGGGGGAGATATAGGGGCTGGCATCTTCGCTTCCCTGGGCATTGGGGTCTTTGCCCTGGGGGCCGTGCTGGCCATCAGGGGTTACCGAAAGGTCAGGAAGCTCAAAGAGAAGCCTGCAGAAATGTTAGCGTTTTAGGCTTTTTAAAACAGTCTGTCAAATGTAAGTGATGTAAGTTACTCTGAATTGTGTTATGGAACTTGCCAAGGCTTGAAAAGTAACACGCCAGCTTTGGTGTCTGGGGTGCAGCCCCGGGTTACACAGACTGCCTTTCTCTGATGTAAAGCCTGGTCTGGAGTCCTCTGCTGGTGAGGGACCGAGAAAAATTATTTTTAAAACAAAAACTGGAGCCCAAGACCCACCAGGAAAGGCATGTGCTGCAGCAAAGTGAACTTTTTTTTTTTATCCTCACCCGAGGACATTTTTTCATTTTTTGTTCAGATAGAGCGGGAGGGAAAGAGAAGAAGAGAGAGAGAGAGAAACATCGACGTAAGAGGGACACATCAAGTGGCTGCCTCCCGCACGACCAACTAGGGCCGGGGACAAACTGCAACCGAGGTACGTGCCCTTAGCGGGAACCGAACCCGGGTCTCTCTGGACCGCAGGCCGACGCTCTAACCGCTGAGCCAAACCAGCCAGGGCACAAAGTGAACTTTTGATTAAATAAAGGGAGATAACCAAGTGAATTTAAAGAACCTTATCTTCAAAGTTCAAGAAATGCCACATGAGACATTTCAGCCCGAACTTTTCTAAGCACGGCTGTCTTAAGCAGATTAGCCCTGAATGTTTTCCACACTGCACTCTGTGGTCCTTCACTTCCTTAATGTTCTAGACGCAGGGGCTGGGGCTGCTAGGGAAACTCCTGTAAAATTTAAGTTGGAGGTAGGCGTGGGCTGAGGAAACAGGAATCAGATTAATTCACTGGGTTGCAAAGAAGCTATTCTAACAAGCCCCTTACCATGGCCTTGAAAACTCAATAAGTGTTTTGTACCTCTTATAAATGTACCATTGTACGAAGAATAAAACCCGACATCTGGAATTCAGGATCCATCCAGAATAACAGAATGTAAACTCTCCCAACAGAAGAATGCTACTTTTGGCCAGACTACTTCATGGGTTCTTATTACATGTTAAATTATGACTTACATTACATTACAATATATTCTTGGTACAAGTGAATATGTTCTTTGCTTTATGTGAATCTAATAAAAATCCAAAAAAAATTTTTAATTTAGAAGTGATGGTTCTCTTTATAAGACATTTATAATATTTTTCCTTTAAATACAGGCAACATCACATTGAAAAGGTGAGTTCCATTTGGGTTTAGAAAAGGAAATATGTGTGTGTGTGTATACACACACGTATATGGTTAGAAAGTTTCTTGAGGAATGCACAAGAAAGCATTAACAGTATTTGCTTCTGGAGAAAAGGAGATTTAATTTTTTTTTTTTTTTCATTTAATGCATGGCTTGACTGCCCATGTATTTTATTGTAGATAAATAAAAAATTTGACCTGCTCTCTTCAGTTTTTTCAGGGTTGCAGTGCAAAGGCAGAAGTAGATGTATAATTAAGCAGAGTATTAAATGACTAGCCACCAAAGCAACCTCCCTGAGATAGACACTATTTACAACAGAAACCTCACTTTCAGTCTCCACTTCCCTCTGCAAAGCTCGCTGCTGTCTTTCCAGTGACGTGTTCCATCTCTCAGGAGATAGACTGCTAGCTCTGGTCAGCCTATTTATTTTCTCCTGATGTCTGTCTCTCTCTGCACTAACAGAACAGCAGCCTGGAAATACCTGAGCCTGCTGGATAGTGATAGCTCAGCCAGATCAGGCTGGCTGGCACTGTGACAATATTCAGTGCCCATATTCCTTCAACAGACCATTATTCCTCTTGATTGTTGCAGTCAGTGGGCTAGTTGATAAGATCTAGATTTACTCCGTTTCAGCCTAGTAGATATTTGCTGCATGAATTATGACTCCACTGTTTTAACAGAATCTGTCCCAGAAGGAAATGTTCAGGTCTCCACATCCTATAGTAGGACTATATTCCTGTTTCTCCACAGGGGTGAGATAGTAACATGCACACAGCAAGAAAACCAAGGCAGAGAAAAGCAATGGGTAGGGGGAATTCGTTTCTCGTGAATTAGAATGATGTCTGGGTCAATTTACTTGCTCTGCTGGAGGGAGAGTGGCCAGTGGCTTCAGCGCCGGGGTGGAGAGTGGGCAGTTCTGATCTGATGTTATTTTCAGATTTAAATCAGAGGAATGTAGCTGCTCAACTGTCAGAGCCTTTGACTCCTGTGTCCTGTGGACCTCCTCGGAATTCATGTGGGCCCAGCAGGAGATAGAATCAGCAAGCCCAGTAGCTGTTGCCCAAGTCTGTTAGATAGAGATACTGGTATTTAGCCACCCAGTTAATAAATGTGGTGGTACGCCTACTGTATTAGAGGGTTTTCCTGATTTCCAAGAAGCCATGCTTCTCATAAATTTGTCCTATTCTTAAGTCTCTAGGCCCCTTCCATTTTATGTATGTTACTGAGTAGCATCACCACCTACTTGCATAACTGTTTATGATTTTCCAAGTATTTTCATGTACTTGCTTTCATCGGGGCCTTACCACAGCCCTGTGGAATGATAGGCAGGCATTATCTTCATTTGTCAGGTGAAGTGTCTGAGGCTTACAGGGACGGGTCAAGGTCCCAGGCAGTAAAGCGCGGGGATATGAGCTCTAGGTTCACATGCTGCTCTCTCAGTTTGCTGTCTGAACCCTGAGAGAATGGCGGGAGACCTCCCAGAAGTATACTTCGAAGAGCCTGGGGCCTCTCCCAGTTACAAATTAGAGCTGACCTTGGACAAAAAGACATTCATCTCCTTTACCTGTTGGCTCCTGCTGCCTCACAGCACTTAAACTTGTAAGAAATCCCCAAGGAGACAGCCTAGGTGTCCATCACCGAATGGAGTTGGAGGCCACGCCATGAAGAATGTGGACACTATAGGAGCTGATCTAAAAACATCTCTAGGGCCCTGGCCGGTTTGGCTCAGCAGTTAGAGCATAGGCCTGCGACCCGGGTTCGGTTCCCGCTAAGGGCACGAACCTCGGTTGCAGTTTGTCCCCGGCCCTGATTGGTCGTGCGGGTGGCAGCTACTCGATGTGTCCCTTTCACATCGATGTTTCTCTCTCTCTCCCTCCCACTCTACCTGAACAAAAAATGGAAAAATGTCCTCCGGTGAGGATAAAAAAATAAATAAATAAATAAAATAAAAATAAAAACATCTCTAGGAAGAATAAATGAAAAAAGCAAGGTGCAGATGAGTATATGTGGTGTGCTTCCTTGTGAAAAAAGCCAGGAAGGGGGATGGAAGGCAGATATGATTATGCTTTTATTTGCATAATGGAACAGTGTGAGTTATATTAGAAAATCATGAAAGTAGCTGGGGGTGGAGGACAAGGTGGACAGGGTCATGAATGATTTTTCTCAATTTATACCTTTTTACATCATTTTGATTTTTAAAAAGGTTTAAAATGTGAATATAGATTCATAAAATATTGCAAAAAATAGTACAGAGATCCTGTGTGCCCTAAACCCAATTTTCTCCATTGGTAAATCTTGCATAACTATAGGGTAATACCACAACTCTGCAAAGCTGAGGTGTCACCAGTTTCACACACTCAGGTCTATGTGTGTGGTTCCATGCAGTTTTATAACATGTAGATTCATGCAACCATCATCATGATCAAGTATTGAACTGTTCCATCATCCCTTGTGCGCCCCTTTATAGTCACACCCATCCCCTCCCCCCCACTCATCCCCAACCCCCAACCACCAGGCATGTCGTTCTCCATCTCGGTCGTCGTCATTTTGACACTGTTATATAAGTGGAATCATACAGTATGTAACTTTCTGAGACTGGCTTTTTCCACTCATCATAATTCCCTTGAGATCCATCCAAGAGTTGCCCATATGAACAGTTCATTTCTTTTTATTGTTGAGTAGAGTAGTCCTTGGGACGGGTGTACCAGATTGTTTAACCATCTGCCCATTGCAGAGAATTTGGGTTGTTTCTGATATTTGGCTATTATGAATAAAGCTACTATGAACATTGGTGCACATGTTTTTGCGTAGACCTAAGTTTTCATTTCTTTTTTTTTTTCTTTATTGATTTGAGAAAGGGAGAAAGGGAGAGGGAGAGAGAGAGATAAAAACAATGAGAGAGAACATCGACTGGCCACTTCCTGCATGCCCCTCAACTGGGGATTGGGCCCACGACCTGAACATGTGCCCTGACCGGGAATCAAACTGGCGACCTCTTGGTGCATGGGTCAATGCTCAACCACTAAGCCACACCGGCCAGGCTAAGGTTTCATTTCTTTAGGATAAGAGCTCAGGAGTACAGTTGCAGGTCACATGGTAAGTGTATGTTCAGTATTTTTTTAAAAACTGCCAAACAATTTTCAAGTGACATTTTGATTTTTCAAACACATGAACATTGAAAAACAAACCATGTTAATGTTGAATCTAACCATGTCCTTAAAATCAGGTCACCTATTTCTCTAGTCTGACCTAGAGAAGTTTCCTGGGTGAGTGATGTTCATGTTAAATCCCAAATCTCTCTCCTCCTAGGTGTGGTACAGATAGTGGAGGTGATATTGAATGGCATGGTTCTCATGTGTATCGTGGCTTCCTACTTTGTCCTTGCTGGATTCAGCGCCAGCTTTACCAGTGGCGGCGGCTTTGGGAACAACTATTACTCACCATTTGAGGGCACCGAGCTGGAGCAGGTTCGGCAGCTGGACCAGCAGTACACAGTCCTCCGTGCACCCCTGATATATGGCGGCGTGGCTGTTTCTCTGGGGCTGGGTGTCCTCACCATGGGTGTTTTACTCCAAGGAGCCAAGAGTCTAACCAGACTGCCAAGGAAGTGGCTCCTCCTGGAGGCAGCCTTCAGCCTCCTGGCAGCAGTGGGCTACTGCACAGGCATCGGTGTCTACCTCCACGTAGCCTTGCGGATAAATGCTACAGATACTTGCAAAACAAGAGAGAGGCTCTATGCCCGCAAAGGTCTCACCTGGATGAACTGCCAGCTGGCAGGCACTGATGGAGCAGCAGCCACCTTCGCTTGTCTTCTGGTGATAATGTATGGAACCAGCGTGGTGCTGGCCCTACGGAGCTACCGAGAACAGAAGCACTACAAAGACAGCCAAGAACAGCACAGAAATTACAGTGAGGCACCGGAGTATCTGTGGTCTGGAACACTCTGAGTCCTTCTGGAACCTAAATGTCAACCCACCACCTCCCTGTTTCTCTCAAAAAGATGGGTCCTTTAAATTCGCACATTTGACAACTGGTGTTTACACCTACGTGATTTTATGCGTGCTCTCTCTGGTACCAATGCAAAGCTAGATGGTTATCTCATTTTCCTATCAGTAAGCTTTCAAGCTCAAAGGTTGGGAAAATCTTCACCTTGGCTACAAAGAACATCAGAAGATTAGGTATGCCCTTATTGTCTTGCTCCCTTACCAAATGGTAAGGTAATGATACTAATGGCCAAGTAGCCAAAGAAATTCTGAAAGTTGAGAACTACACATCAGGGTAGGAGGCCCAGCATTAACTATTGAAAGTCAGCGAAAGAAACATGCCATTTCCCTTTATATTTGGTCTCAGGGAAATTATTTTAAAGCAGCTGTGTGACTGAATTCTAAATGAGTAATTACATTCTGACCCTCTTCTAGAGAGAAACTGTTCTGCCCACAGGGCAGTGTTCCGTGGCTGCCTGCATCCTAAGGAGACCACTTCCATTAGGGATGGGAGGCTGGATTTCGAACACATGAAGAGAGGTGCTCTCAGCATGCGTGTTCCTCCTCAAGATTCCTGCATTAGGGCTGAGAGAAAATGTTTTGTTTTTTGCCAGCATTCCAAGTTAGTTTCTTTTTTGTTGCAAGCCATTCATCTGGAATTCAACTTTCCTGAAATATGGTCCCTAAATATGAGGCTCCCATATAGTGAAAAATAAAAGTCATAAACTTCTTAAACGTGTTATTCAACCAGTTTAAAGATAAAGCAGTTAGTCTTACTAGACTATAATGGCTTACAGGAGGCCTCTTCATTGCTGCTTTGTCCAACAGGGCTCCATAGAGTAGACTTTCAAAAGTGGAGTGTAATCTCTCATGACTCTGGATTGTTTTCTTAGCATAACAATCATGAACACTGAATCTTAAAAATAAAGTTATTTCAATAAGTTTAAAGTTTTATAGCTGTTCTACTTTACAACTTGTCTCAGATTTTCAGTTCATGTCAGATGCAACTGCAAATATACACATTATATAAAGTATAGGATTTTTTCTAATTTTCCTCTTGCTTTTCAATAGCTAATTCTTTTTTCATTTCATTGTTTTATGTTCATATTATGAACAAGATTAAACCATCTATAAATTCAAACTAAATTTTTAGAAATTTCTAAGAACAGCAATTTTGACATAAATCTCACATTCTCCAATCTATATCGTAAGAAATCAGCAAATACAATCCTGTTTCAACATATGACAAACTGTTAGAAAATTAAGTCAACATCATTTTCCTCTAACATGTTGGCCATTTTTGCCCCTGCATGTCTGCTGATCCTTCTTCCTCCCCTACCCCATCCCTCAGATCTCCTCCCCGTAATATACTACTTTTCCCGCTCTTCTTAAATCCTTTCAATCGGTAATTCTTATAGAACCTATTCCAAGGGAAGGATCAAAACAAAACCTCACACAGAAATGGGAAATTATCTAGATTATACTTTTACGAAAGTAAAGCTCAGGAAAACCATCAACTAGAAATTTACATTGCTGGGTTAAAATACAAACATTTTTGCCACAGAAAGGCACTTCCACTCTATCACCCTTAGCCCCCCAGTTTTCACTGAGTGGTATACAAAAAGTTTAAATGCAGCAAAAATAAAAACCTTGCCCGGCTAGTGTGGCTCAGTGGTTGAGCCTTGACTCATGCATCAAGAGGTTGCCGGTTTGATTCCTGGTCAGGGCACATGTCCAGGTTGTGGGCCCAATCCCCAGTGGGAGGCATGCAGGAGGCAGCCAATCGATGTTCTTTCTCATCAATGTTTCTATCTCTCCCTCTCCCTTCCTCTCTAAAATTAATAAAGAAAAAAAATTTTTTTAATAAAAAAACCCATTTCCTACCTACCCACAAAAAGAATAACCCCCACACACACACACTATTCTCACCTAGTACTTATTCCCAGGTCCCCTAAAAACATTGTGTCTGAGTCATGCTTGATAAAATGAGGACTTTGGCCTGTCTGACCCCAGTGTTGTGCCCAGGCCCAGCTCACACTGCTGCCAAGTGTGACTGGAGACCTTCGGTCACTGTAATCACAACACCCGGTGTCCGCAGCTTCCAACCATGTCTTATTTCCTACTAGTTGCTGAGGAGGAGGGTCAAAACTTATCATTCCCATTTTACAGATGAGGAAATAAAGGCTCAAGAAAGTTAAGTGATTTACCCAGTGTCTGACATTCTGCTGACTGCTCACTATGCGCCACATTCACTACTGAGCTAAGGTAGCATTTGGTGGTGGTTGTTAATCCTCACCTGAGGATACTTTTCCATTGATTTCTAGATAGAGTGGAAGGGAGGGAGAGAGAGAGATCAGTATGTCTAGAGACACATGGATTAGTTGCCTCTGGCAGGAGCCCGACCAGGGCGGGAAGCAAATCGGGACCCTTTGGTCCTTGGCCCAACGCTCTAACCGCTGAGCCAAACCAGCCAGGGCTAAGGTAGCATTTTGCATCATCTCGTTTAAGCTCACAATTTGAGAGAGATTATTTCCATTTCACAATCAAGAGAGAGAAAAAAAGCCTTGGAGAGGTTAATTTGCCTAAATTCAAATTCTAAGCAGCAGCAGTGGCAAAACTTAGGACCCAATGAATCACACAACTGGAATGTGTTGTAACTAATGTACTCTTGTGGCCTTCAGGGTACCAGGGAATTGATACCACACGAAGCAGAGCACACACTCATAGAATTTCACTGCTGCCACCTTGAGATAGGTAGGTGTATGTCTCATGAAACTGAGGTATTAAAGTAGATAATGGTGATGGTGTTGAGCCCAGTGCATTGAAGGTACTCAATGAGCAGCTGGTGAACCAACTTTTCAAAATGTTCGTTCTGCTCATCAGAAGGAACCTAAAGAATGACTTCAACTTGGACTTCATCTGGAGTGTGAAGCAGCTAATCTGGCTTAAAGTCCAGAGATCTGGGAGACAATCGATGGGGGGGGGGGGGGGGGGCAATTTAGAGGCTTACCTAGATTGTAAGTATTCCGTGGGCCAAAACTCACCAGTATGTCTGAAGTTCTAATACCAAAGCCATTATTACATTACACCAAACATGGTGACCAGATTATCCACCTAGCTCCTCTCAGCAGCAGCTCTGTGATGTGTTTAATAGGAGCTATGTAGGTTGTTTATCAGTGAGTTTCCTGTAGTCTGCTAATCACCTGCATGTAAATAAGGACCATGTTTCCTGTCTAGAATTTTTTAAAAACATATAAACCAAGTCAGAATATAATGTTTCTTAACATAAAAAAAAATCTTTATTGCTATTTCAGCTTAAAAGGTGATCAAAAATATTTATTCTGCCCTTAACTCATAGCTTCATAGTGTCATGGAATGTGGTTTCATTTGTTCTTTCCCTAAAGCAAGAAAAAGCAGAAAAATTCTAATGGTGTTTTGGTTAAGAAACTAATTCTACATACAAGTTAGAGAAAATTACAGTTTCATGCTAAAATAAAGTATAAAATAACAGGTATTCCATTTTAAAACAAAGCCATGAAAAAGATATTCCATTTTATTTTATTTATTATTATTGTTAATGTTATTTTTTACAAACAATAGATTTGCTGCAACATGCTCTGGCTCATATTATTGAATTAAAAAATTTAACACATTTCAAAAATATCAAAAATACACTATAATGAGTCTTAGGACTACAATACGACAATGATTGCACAAAACCGTAAGATATGAACTCACTGTTTGGATGAAGTTCATTGGCAACAGTGAGAGAAAACCCTATAGCATCTGGGAGAGGTGCATGACATTTAGATACAAGGAGCTTGTGTGTGACTGAATGATCACCAAATGAGGGAAACAAAGCAGGATTTACTGTAGCTGCTTTTCTCAATCTAGGAAGTGCTTACCCAGCTATGGGGCAAAAGTCACTAACTGGAGAGAAAGATTAACTTGCCTCCATGATTGGGGAGTCTGAAAGGCCCCACCCAGAGGGAAGTAAAAAGTGATACGAGACAGTTCTATAGTGATGCTGCAAACATCACTGAATGGCTTGGAGACTATTTAATAATTGATACATTTATCAATAACAGCCAAGTGCTCCCTTATGGAGGTCTGTTCATTAATAATTATTGAGTAGATAGAGAAGGTGAGCCTGTGGCTTCCAAGTACCTGCTTTTGCTGAAGGTCTACATGGAAAGAAGAGCATCATTTGATATTCAGTAGATCAGCCAAACCTAACTAACTGGCTCCATCTCCTGAACAATAGCACTCGCTACAAACAATTATAATAGCACCCAATGATTACCAAGCTGCTCATGTTGGCTCTTCTATACACCAGAAAAAGGAACTCATAAACTTATTGCACACACACACTCACAGTAGTATAATAAAGCTTTCACTTGTGTTAGGAGTGGTAATTCAATGACTATGGTAGCACGGTAGCTTTATGATATACCAGCATTCAAATGTTCAAATATATTCCCAATTCATTTGGATAAAAGTAAGAATGCCATGGCTGCCAAGACTCACGTACTTTTCTTTCTTCCATAAGACGGTTGAACTGCTCCCATAAGCAGGAGTGATGTTCTTTCAGAAATTCTCTTCAACTTTTCTATTAAATGGGAGGTACACACACAGACCTGAGAATCGTGCAGAGGCCAGGATCTCTGGAATAGAGAGCAATGGTACTCTGCCCACCTGGGGAACACTTCTGGGTAAAGTCCTAGGAAGCAGATTACATTCACCTGTAGACAGATTACTGTCTTTCACCACCTGACAGTCTAATCAGGTCACCTAATGACTGTAAATGACCTCATAGGTCAAAAGATTCTGTATATTTTTGGTAATGGGCTATGGCCTTTTTACCCTCTGTTTTAATACAGAGCAATCATAGAGGAAAATGAATTAAAGGAAGTCACAAAAAAGAATTACTTTTGGTATAGCCTATATAAAAGGTTTCCAACACAACCTAATGTTTCCTGAAAATAAATCTACCACACAGAAGAGCGTTTGGAATTTCAGAGTTCTTCTAACTAAAAAGTAAATACATTTACTTCTGGAAAAGTTATTTCAAAACTGAGTTTGTGGTGGTTCCATTAAATGGGGTGGGTAACAAAGAAGACAAGGAGAGGGTTCACAGATAAAGGACAATTTTTAAGAGACTATACTATTAAAGTGGTATATTCCCCAAACAACTTTCTTTTCTAGACAACATCACTATTCCATAACTCAGAGGTTCTGCTGTCTGAGTAGAAAGATGCTTTACATCACCCATCACTATTACCTTGGGTGTTTCCTTCATCTTCATTTTTCCTTACCTTTTTAAATTTTCCTATATAAAAATAAGGCAGCAACACACTATTGTTCCCATTCTCCTAAAAGCATGTAGAACTTTGTATGACCCACAATGTTCCCCACCTCAAATCAAGACCTGAGTTCTAAATTCTGCAGTAGCTGACCAGTAGTTTGACACAGGGAAGTCAAATATTCCTGACAATTTGGGGACCCAAATTCAGATTCTTGAGGGGTTGAATTTAGACAGCCATTGAAGTGGTATGAAATCCCCCCAAGAGTGTACCCCACCAACACAGGCACATGGGTATGGGGCCTCTGAAAAGATGATGACTGTGGCCAGGTCATCTGGTTTTCTACTATTGCTTCAACAAAAATTTCCCCCAAAACCCTATTTATATATATATCAACCCTATCTTTAATATTTCTCATGAAACAAATTAAAAATGGTCCCACTCGATTCTCTTTTTAATTGTGAAAGTATTCTAGAAATTCAAAGCACATTCCCATTGGGTAAAATCAAGCAGTGTCAAAATTTTGTAGGAATAAATAGGAATTCATTTTCCTAAGTAAACCTAATGGAAAAGGCAACAGAACAGAAATATGCAAGGAACTGCATTTTGCTAGGGTTACATGGAATGTGCAAAAAAAATATAGCAAACCAGGTTTTCTATAAGCTTAGGACTTTTGTCATTCTTCCTTATATTAGTAATTGAGCCCAGTACTTGCCAAACATGTGATATGGATAAGCAGTTTTCAGAAGAGTACTCTGCTAAACATTAAAGGGGTGAACTCTCAACTCACTTGCAACATTTTAGAAAACCATCCCTAAACTCTAGAGTAAGAGAAGGAACCTGTCAAACCCCTGAGGTCCATCCATCCTTCTGTCCTCATTCAGCCTCAGTCTGTTCAAGGTCACCTGCTATAACTCAAGGTTATTCTGAGGTGAGTAGCATCAGCCTTGGCCCTACATACTAGGAGGCTGATTGCCAACTCCATCACGTTATGAAAAGAGGACAATCCCCAAATGCCTCTCTTGTGATCTGCTGAGAAATTCTTAGCAGGTGTCACATTTGTCAAGGAGCTTTTCTCTGTTTTGTGATTTAAGGGAAGTAGTCTTAGTCTTCACTCTTTTCCCATCTTCATCCCCCAAAGAAGATCCTACTCCCACACGTTTCTCAGCTTTCACAGTCTGATATCCAACAATTAAATCAATTTCCCAGGGCCCTTCCTAGTACCCTCACAGAAGGCTTCAACACGTGATGGTCATTCTACCTTTGGACAAAGGTGCTGGGCTGCCTCTAAGAAGATTGGCTCGAGTGCAGATTCGAAAATAAAAAGTTCACAGTCAATGAAAAGTGCTCTCATTACATTACATACATAAATTATCTGTTTGATTGGTTCTACATTTCCAATAAACGTCATTTTGATAGGCTGTATTCTCGTAGAGAAGAATGAAAAGCCATGTGACTAGTCACATCACGTCCCATCAGTTAGGCGGAGATATAAGGTGATTCCTGTCACAGAGATCCATCAGCAGCAATCAGTAAAAGGAATCATCTTCAGTTATTTTCCTCCACAGAAATAGTCCCTTTCCTGCCCAGGCAGGCAAATTCTCAAAATTATCCTAGGAGAGAAAGGGTTAATGGCAGGTGGTAGGACTGATACAGAGCAACATCTTTCTTCCCAGTACCTCTGGGAATTCCAACGCAGGTTAAATGTGAAACTTAACACTGATGGTGTTTACTAGCTTATCCAGAGCGAGACCCTGACAGCTCTCACCATTTTTGGCTCCAAGTTCTACCTTCCTCATCTATGGTTTAGAAATGCAGAGACAAAAGGCCTCTGAAAGGGTCCCCCACCCCAACACTACACAGCCTTCCCTGATGCTGGAGCTGCCGGGGGAGGATTACAGTGCTGTGTCAAACTCCTCCGGGAGCTCGGTCCGATCCTCTTCATTAGGCTCAGGCTCGGGCCTGCTTTCCTGGTGTTGCTTCATTTGCTCCTTCACTTCTTCTTCTAGGTCACGAGGCACAACAAACTGATCCTCTGGCTCCAGCTGAGTGGGGGCAGCAAAATAGCCAGTTTTCTTTTTGGGTGCTTCTGTGGCCACTTCAATGAGGTTCAGGCTCTCTTCTAGGGGTACAATGGAGCCATTGGAGAGCTTCTTTCCATAGAGACAGGAAGTGGAGGGAGACTTCTGTAACTCCATCTTGTCCTTGCTCGCTGGCAGAAGTATGCCACTATTCACGCTGTTCTGTCTTCGGATCCCCCAAAATAATCCTCTGCCATGTTCCTCAGGACACGGGGCAGGAGAACGCTCTGCAAGAGTGGGCGAGTTCTCCCTCCCTCTACAGCAGTGGATGTCTACTTCCACTTCTACCTTGCTGCCATTCGTTATGACCCCTTCAACGGGCTGGTCATCATCACTGTCCAGGCCATTGTCAGACTGGTTACTTGAGAAAGTTGCACAAGAAGGCTGGCGCTGAAAAACCCCCGAGTTGGGTGTTGGGTGGAGGCTGCAGCGCCTCTCTGGCCTTGGAAGCAAGCCAGCATCTAGGCCAACAGTGTTATGTTCATCAGAAGCAGTGGATCCCACCTCACTGCTCACCTCTGAAGTCGACATCTCACTGCTGAACTCAGAAGCAATACCACTGCTGGAGGAAGGAGTGGTTGGCTTGAGAGGGTCCTTGATGGTGGTGGTTGAAGCAAATCCCACAGGACCTGGGAGGCTGAGCCCATTCATCTCACAAGTGCAGCCTTCCTCACCAATGTTCAAATAAACCACAATCGCCCCCACATTGTCCTGACAACCATAGCTCTGGGCTAATGTGCACAGCTTCTTGGCAGCTGCTAATGGGTCTTGTACATGACGTACTGCACTGACAGCATCTGTATATGACAAGTGTTCCCACAATGCTTTGTTTCCCAGAATCAGCAACTCATCTTGAATGGTAAGTGTAGTGGAAGATATGTGGGGCTTGGGGAGGATCCAAGGGTAGAGGTATGTGCAGCCCAGCATCCGGGTACAGCAGGTTACCCCATTCACTTTGTTATCCTAGAGACAGCAGAATGCAAATTTTGAAAAACAAGCAACAATGACATACAATGTATACCTTTCTATGTCACATTGCTTAGAGCTTTACAATTAATCAGAATTGACATGTTATATGGTTTTTTCCTAGGAACTGTGTAATTTTAAATGGACTTACAAAAATAAATGTATAAAATTTTAAAAGCACAAAATAGCATATGTGTCTCTCTCACACTGATGTTTCTTCTTCCCTCTCTCCCTCCTGCTCTGTCTGAAGATAAATGCAAAAAGTGTCCTTGAGTGAGAATAGTTCAGAGGACTGAAATTAAAACCAATTAAAATTAAGTGGCTAAAAGGCACCTCAATCTCAAAAGATATTTGTTCTAACATGAAGTAAAGGCCTCGTCATGTCTTTAAACACAGAAACATCTGCTAGAAAAACAATGAGCAGACTTGTCATTACTTCTTTATCACTAGTATTCTCAGAGAGGCCAAAACTCAAATGGGTCACTAAAAATGATTTCTCATTCAAAGGCACAGTTGGGACTGAAAAGATTTAGGGAGATGCCCTGGCCGGTTTGGCTCAGTGTTGAGTGGACCAATGACTCGCGGGTTCGATTCCGGCCAAGGGCACATACAGTCAGCCCTCGTTTATAGTGGTTAATCAGTTCCAGACTCTACCGCAATAAATGAATTTTCACGAAGTAGGATTCTTTATTTACATACAGTCATCCCTCGCCACTTCGCACTTCGACTTTTGCGGCTTCACTCTATCGTGTTTTTTTAAAAAAACCATCCAAGTGCAAAGTGGGGAGGGATGACTGTACCTTGGTTGCAGTTTGTCCCCAGCCCTGGTCGTTCGAGAGGCAACCAGTCGATGCATCTCTTTCATGTTTATGTTTCTCTCTCTCTCCCTTTCTCTTCCTCTCTCTCTATCTGAAGATAAATAGAAAACTATCCTAAGTTGAGGAATAAAAAAAAAAAAAGATTCAGGGAGATATTAAATGGCTAAGACAATCTTTGTAGTTAAGGCATTAAATGTCTAAAGTTATTTAGCCTAGAAAAGGAAAGTCTGAAATCTGTAGCAAATTTACCTACTTTGTAAGGATTGTACCAAAAATGAATAGCAGATCAAGTCACAACTAATGTAGTTATAAATTTAGAGAAAAGGGAATAACCCTATAGATCAGGAATGTTCATCTGCCAGATACTTTATACTTATTTCTTTTCAAAATAAAGCAAGCTAAGCTTTTAATGTCATCAATATATTTATGTCCTAGTTGTAGTAATTCACTGGGTGAAAATCCTGGCTCTCTCATTTGCCAGAATTTGTCACAAATACTAAGTTTTATTTTCCTCAACTGTAAAATGGAAATAAAAGCGCTTCTTTCATGGGCATTATTGTGAAGATTAAACAAAATTATGAAAGTACAGTGCTTAGCAAATAATAAGCAAACAATACATGTCTGTGGTTAAAATAACATTTATAAAAATATTTTCTACTTGTCTAGGACTCCTCCCCCAAATTAAAACATTATCTGAATTCTGTAAAAATAGATGAATCAAGCAAAAAGTTCTATTATCTTGCATTTGTCTTGACTGAAAGATCTTCCTAAGGCTAATGCCTCAGAATTCAAAATATTCATAGTATCAACAACATTATAATGATACATTTTTTGGTTTTATGCTTCCTTGGATAAAATCTAACATGGATAATCCTTATACAGGACACTGAAAGAACAGCCAGACCAGAAATGGACCCACACAAATATAGTCCACTGATCTTTGACAAAGGAGCAAATGCTAATTCAATGGAGAAAGGATAGTCTATTCAACAAATGCTGCTGGAACACCTGGACATTCACATGCAAAACAGAAAGAAAAAGATTCTAGACATGGAGTTCACACCTTTCACAAAATTCATTCAAAACAGATCAGACTTGCCCTGGCCTGTTTGGCTCAGCGGTTAGAGCGTCGGCCTGCGGTCCAGAGAGACCCGGGTTCGGTTCCCGCTAAGGGCACGTACTTCGGTTGCAGTTTGTCCCCGGCCCTGGTTGGTCGTGCGGGTGGCAGCCACTCGATGTGTCCCTTCACGTCGATGTTTCTCTCTCTCTCTCCCTTCCTCTCTCTCCCTCCCACTCTATCTGTACAAAAAAAATGGAAAAATATCCTCGGGTGAGGATTAAAAAAAAAAAAAAACAGATCAGACTTATTAAAGGTAGAACACAAAACTTTTAGAAGATAACACAGAAAGAAATCTAGGTGACCTAGGGTTTGGCGATGAGTTTTCAGATACAACACCAAAAACACGATCCATGAAAGAAAAATAAGTGGGACTTCATTAAAATTAAAAACTTCTCTGCAAAAGACGCTGATAAAAAGAATGAGAAGACGAGCCCTGGCCCGTTTGGCTCAGCAGTTAGAGGGTCGGCCCGTGGACCAGAGAGGCCTGAGTTTGGTTCCCACTAAGGGCACGTTCCTGGTTGCAGTTCATCCCTGGTCCCAGTTGGGGTTGTGGGTGGCAACCATTCGATGTGTCTCTCTCACACTGATGTTTCTTCTTCCCTCTCTCCCTCCTGCTCTGTCTGAAGATAAATGCAAAAAGTGTCCTTGAGTGAGGATAAAAAAAATTAATAAAATAAAATTTAAAAAATAAATAGAATGAGAAGACAAGACACAGACTGGGAGAAAATATTTACAAAACAAATATGTGATAAGGACTTATATCCAAAATTCACAAAGAACTCTTTTTTTCCCCCCCCTTTATTGATTTTAGAGCTAGAGGAAGGGAGAGGGAGAGGGAGAGAGAGAGAGAGAAATATCAATGAGAGAGAACATCAACTGCCCACCTCCTGCATGCCCCTCACTGGGGATTTAGCCCACAACCTAGGCATGTGCCCTGACCAGGAATCGAACCAATGACCTCTTGGTGCATGGGGTGATGCTCAACTACTGAGCCACACTGGATGGACAACAAAGAACTCTTAAAGATCATAAAGAGACTAACAATTCAACTAAAAATGGGCAAAAGCCCTGGCCGGTCTGGCTCAGTGGTTGGAGTGTCGGCTCAAGGACTAAAGGGTCTCGGGTTCAATTCCTGGTTGAGGGTACATACCTGGCTTGCAGGTTTAATCCTCAGCCCTGGTTGGGGTCATGGGGGAGGCAGCCAATCAATGTCTCTCTCTCATATCAATGTTTCTCTTTCTCTCTCCCTCCCTCCCTTCCACTCCATCTAGGAATCAATGGAAAAATATTCTCAGCTGAGGATAAAAAGCTTTTTTTAAATGGGCAAAAGATCTGAACAGAATTCTGCCTTGCAATAAACACGGTTCACATGTAATTGCTAAAGTCTCTTTAAAAGCAAAATGCTATGCTAGTTTCTAAAACAGAAGAAGAGCTGTAAAATAGAGAAACTGATGCTTCATTATTTTTATTTATTTATTTATATCCTCACCTGAGGACATTTTTTTGCATTTCTTGTTCAGATAGAGTGGGAGGGAAAGAGGAAGAGAGAGAGAGAAACATCTATGTGAAAGGGACACATTGAGTGGCTGCCACCCGCACGACCAACCAGGGCCGGGGACAAACTGCAACCGAGGTACATGCCCTTAGCGGGAACCGAACCCGGGTCTCTCTGGATCGCAGACTGACGCTCTAACCACTGAGCCAAACCGGCCAGGGCTGATGCTTCATTATTAAAAAAAAACTAAAACACAAAAGCATGTAAGCCAAATATAGTATAAACAACAAAATTTTTGAAATTTTATATTTGAGAACAGGACATCAAACTACAGAAGATTTTCTCTTCTGCTTGGAAATTAACCAAGGGAGACAATTACATTCATTTTAAATGCTAGCTATACATCTAAAGCAGCAATTGTCAACCGCCATGCTGCCAGAACTTTTAAAACATGCAAAGCCTGACCATTTATTCGGGACACTGACCAAATCTTTTCCCTTACACTGTCAAATAAAAATATAACAACCAACACAGCAATAGCCATCCGGTGTGAATGAATCAAAGTTATACCTATTTTTTTGGTCAGATAAGCAAAAAATATATATTTTTGGTGTGCTGCAGAATTTTAGTCATTTATGTGTGTCATGAGATAAAAAAAAGATTGAAAATTACTGATCTAAAGGATGAAAATCAGGTTTTTCCTTCTAATTAATTTACTTTTGCTTTTTGGTAGTCATTAGCTATTCCTTGGATACAGTTTACAAGGCTTGATAGGAGGAAAGTGGACCTCTAACTACCACTATGCAAAACAGCATTCACTATATTAGGGGAACAGAAGTAACTGGTCAAGAACAAGACTCACCTCTGTTATGATGGCTTTTTGGTCCTTCACCCTTTGGGCCTCCTCCGAATCCTGTTCCAGGCTGAAGACTTTAGAGAGGGGCATTGGTTTCCCACCTCGGCACAGGACTGCTTGGCACGTGCCAACGTTGGCCACCGTCAAGCTAAAACTACTTGTTGGATCAGCAGTGTCAGGGCGGATATAACAAAGAAGAGCAGAGGAGCCCAACTTCTGACCAGCCATCCCTAATTTCCTATTTAGAAAGAAAATGAAGACATGGTAGTTTTTAGAAGAAGGTGGCAGTCTTTCATGCCCATGATTTCCTGCCATGTGGCTAAACCAGCCTCACCCTTATCCACCTCAAGGCAGTCTCTTACTATAGGTGATGATGGTGAAGAGACCCTGCCTTCTACTCTTAATTTACTGAGAAAAGGAATTTTACACAAAGGGGAGACAGTGAAGGTACATCTTTCTCTGCTCCTTCTACTTGTGTCTGATCATAGACCACAATAGCCTAATTCAGTGGTTTCAACTTGAGAGCATCAAAATTACCTAGAGCAGCAGTTCTCAACCTGTGGGTCGCGACCCCTTTGGGGGTTGAATGACCCTTTCACAGGGGTCGCCTAAGACATAACAGTAGCAAAATTACAGTTATGAAGTAGCAATGAAAATAATTTTATGGTTGGGAGCCACTACAACATGAGAAACTGTATTAAAGGGTCACGGCATTAGGAAGGTTGAGAACCACTGACCTAGAGGGTTAATAAAAAGAGATTGCTGGGCCCACCCCCAGAATTTCTGATTCAGTAGATTAGGGGCTAGCCCAATAATCTACATTTCTAACAAGTTTCCAGTGATGTTGAAGCTGCTGAGGCTGTTGTCCTAGAACAACACATTGAGAACCACACATTTAGGTTTTAAGTTCCTAGAAGGAATGACCATAATTTTCCTTGTATTTCTCACACACACATAGCATCCATCCCTCAACACCTGGTACACAATGGTAAGCATAGAGCAGATGCTATCAAAAAGATCTGGTTTCAAATTCTGGCTTTGCCATTTACTGGCCATAGATCCTCAGAAAGTTATTTCTCTGAGAAATTTTTCAATAAAATACCCACCTCTTTGGCTTGTTTTGAAAATTAAAGGTATGACAAATGCTTGGTATAGTGCCTGGCTCTTGGGAGGTACTTCATAAACAGAGTTCTCTTTCCCAAACCCTTTATTTTGCCTAGTTCCTAGCTCAACTCTATTATTCAAAAATAGACTCCTTTCCCAATCGCTTTGCTTTGTGTTATAATGAGAGATAAAACCAGCTTGGGCTCCTGGGTGCTCCATTTCAACGCTGATTATAGAAGATAACAACCTCTCACTTGTGTATAACCTTTAGGCAGCCTACCTGATGGGTAAGATGCTCCATTAACTACAAAGAGATTTTCAATAGTTTGACTATATAGGGTATTTACACCCTTAAGTGGCTTAGAAGATCAGTTGAAAATCCCAGTAAGTACTTTATTTATTTATTTATTTATTTATTTTTTTTTTTAAAGGTTTTATTTATTTATTTTTATCCTCACCCGAGGACATTTTTCCATTTTTTGTTCAGGTAGAGTGGGAGGGAGAGAGAGAGAGAAACATCGATGTGAAAGGAACACATCGAGTGGCTGCCACCCGCACAACCGACCAGGGCCGGGGACAAACTGCAACCGAGGTACATGCCCTTAGCGGGAACCGAACCCGGGTCTCTCAGGACCGCAGGCCGATGCTCTAACCGCTGAACCAAACCGGCCAGGGCCCAGTAAGCACTTTAAACACATGAATCTGATCAGTGCTGAATCTTTTGAAGGTCACTGACTCTTTGGAGAATCTTATAAAAGGTTACCATCTTCCTTCCCCCAAATGTACAAATGCATATATACATACACACACCTTTTGCACATGATTTCTAGGCTTTCCAGATCCTCAGCAGCCTTTGGGTTCAATAAAGAAAATACAGATGATTCCACGGACTCTTTAAAAAACCAAAATCCCAACATTCCACGCTGATATAGACAGAATGGTCAGGGCAAGAAGGAGCAAGATCTCATCTTGATCATATACCTATAATTTAGACCCTGACCTTCTAGCTTAGTGAAATTTATTTTCTTTTTTTCTTTTTTTTTTTTTTTTTTAATCCTCACCCGAGGACATTTTTCCATTTTTTGTTCAGATAGAGCGGGAGGGAGAGAGAGGAAGAGAGAGAAAGAAACATCGACATGAAGGGACACATCGAGTGGCTGCCACCCACACGACCAACCAGGGCTGGGGACAAACTGCAACCGAGGTACGTGCCCTTAGCAGGAACCGAACCCGGGTCTCTCTGGACCACAGGCCGACGCTCCAACCGCTGAGCCATACCGGCCAGGGCATGAAATTTATTTTCCAAAGTTGAGTTAGGGATTATTCAACCCACCTGCTTACCTGTGAGATACCAAGAAGGTGTTAGCCATGAAAATTGTGTCATTTGTTGACTGCTGTACCTCTTCCAAAAGGACATCTGCCATGGTACACTGGAGCAGGCGAGGCAGCTCCTCATTTCGGTCACCATCAAACATGCCATACACAGCTCCCACCCCCTCTGCAAAGTTATCCACAGCTAGCGAAGATACACACAGCCTATCACAGAAATGCAAGAAAGACAAACATCAAAGAAAGTTATTTGGTAAAAGGATTATTCTCTGGGGAGCCTTCTTTAAAAAAGTATTAATTGAGGGCAGAGAATCACGGGAGTAAATCTATTCTACACATGAAAAAGTGTTACATAATTAAGCAGCATTTGAAAGAGTTCATGTCATAAGAAATGAGGGAATTCAGCCACATTCACAGGCAGTACATATTAGCTTTGTGATGCTGCCAAAGGCTGGAAAGAGTAAATGTTTTCTCTTAGTAGTAATTAAGGACTAGTACTGTCAACACCCTTCAACCAGAGACCCCCAGAAACACACTTGTGGTTGGACATGTTCCATTTACTATGCCTTGTTGCAAGGGAGAGTGCACATCATGGAACTCTGGGGTGTACAAGTAAGAGGGTGTTGCAAAATCTAGTATATAATTAGGGCTTTGGATGGGTCGCTCTGGAGATCCAATGAAGGGATGATCATACTAGATTAGGTGCTGTCAGAAAGTGGAGCCATTCTATGGTTGGTTATCTCAATAAATCTTATCTATAGAAAAATATTAGCACAAGGATAAAGTTGTAATTGGTACAGAAAGTAGCAGTCACCCATTTTAAAGATGACAGACAGCATTTGGTATTTTGTGGCCTGCACATTCATCTTGTTTTGTCCCACTGGATCACAGTTTTGGAAGGATCTTATCCAATGTTGACATTCTGTGATTTGTTTACGTCCAACTTGAGAACATGGCCTGGCTTTTAGCATCGATCAGTTCCCAGATGTCAGAGGCTGCCTTTTTTCTTTCCCAGTCTCCATAGCTAAGACACTCACTTATTTCTCTGCCCTGCCATCTCAGCTAGTCCATGGCTCCAAAAAGTTGATGTCACTGTAGAATCAGTGGTAGGCAAAGGTTTCTGATCAATTTTCAGGGTTGTGATATGACTGTGGGAAGTAGAAGGGAAGATTAAACCACATACACTTCTGTATTTTACAAAAACGATCCCAACAATAATATATATTTTTATAAAACAGTCTGTAGACAGACTAAGATTCATCTCCAGAGAGACTGACTGAAAGTAGTATGCTGACATACTGGCCAAGGAGGAGAAAGGACAAGGGTAGGAGGAACAAATAGGGGCCAAATATTGTTATAATCGATGCTGATCATTTCAATGAGAACTAACCACAACAAAGATTTCAACATTTCAGCCAACGGTCTACTTATTTTAAGTATTTTGATACAAGTAAGTTTTGGTACAATGCATGCACTTGCACTGTCTCTTACATATTGCAATGTAATGTGATCTGTGCCACTAAAATATCTACGCCTGCCATGTAAAGGTATTCAGTATGTGCTTGAGCAGTAGCCATGATGCTGAGTTCTAATATAAATGGGCTAGAACATTTACATGGATGGATAAAGCATTCATCCATAACTGAATCAAAGCAGACAACTGAGGGACTTGATTGCTTCATCTATTCTATTCCTTTAAATAATCAAGATCTTCAGTCCCTTGAGAAGATCCATACATGGCTGGTGGGACTAAGAGCACATGGAAATTCATTTTCAAATTTGTTCTTACCTAAATGTGTCCAGTGTCTTGTGTTCCAGAACCAGATTGGTATTTCCAGTCAGATCAAGGTCTTGCAAGGCAGCAGGCAGAGCCTCCGGAATCAGGATTTCTGTCAAGTCATTGCAACTCAGGTCTACAAACTGGGTGCAGTGAGGTGGGGTGGTGTGGGTGGAGAAATCAAAGAAAATACATCATAGGTAGTTGATTCTTAACTCCCTAACACTCAATCTACTACTATATCCTTCAAGGGAACTTAATTTCTTCCTAGTATATCCACTAAATATACGGTGATCCCTAACTACCTCTTCCTTCTTCCTTACGAGATCAACCTCATTCACACTCCTGCCTTTCCCCCAGACAGACAGCATTCCAGCACATGAAAGTACCTGGATCTGAGGCAACTGCAGTATTTCTGGGAAAATGCTGATGTTGTTGGAGTGTGCGACAAGGGTGTGCAGCCTTTTGCAGTTCGCTATGGTCGTGGGAATGGTTTTAAGCTTGTTGCCACTTAGGTTCAGTTCCTCCAATTGTTCCAATTTATTTAGTTTGCTGAAAAAGAAACACCAATATACCACACTGCACCCAAAATGAGCTGCCAACCAAGTTTTATAGCAGCTAGAGTAGAGGCGACCTGGCCCACTGCCAGATAACTGGTCATAATGAAATGACCAGAGACACCAAAAAGAGGACTCTATCCAGATGATTGCTTCTGCTAAATCTCAGCTTGATCTGCCTCTCAGTGTGTTTTCAGGGGCTGATGCTTCCCTTGCTTCTCTTACAGCTGTTGGATCTTTTGGGCATGAACAGCTTCCTATTATGTGTCTTATAGGAAGTGGCTGAATCAGCATTGGCCTAGGGTTGGTAGAGTAGCTGTGGTACTTGCTTCACCACTAATTGCAAAATACTGCATAAGTTAATGTCAGTTTATAGCAAGATCCTCCGCTATAAAAGAAGCTGTACTAAATCATCACTAAGAGTCCTTTCAGTTTTTTTTTTGTTTTGTTTTTTTTTAATCCTCACCCGAGGACATTTTTCCATTTTTTGTTCAGATGGAGCGAGAGGGAGAGAGAGAGAGAGAAACATCAATGTGAAAGGGACACATCGAGTGGCTGCCACCCACACGACCAACCAGGGCCGGGGACAAACTGCAACCGAGGTACGTGCCCTTAGCGGGAACCGAACCCGGTTCTCTCTGGACCGCAAGCCGACGCTCCAACCGCTGAGCCAAACCGGCCAGGGCGAGTCCTTTCAGTTTTAAATTTCTACCGTAACCTATTCATAACACAATCCACCTTCACTATACATTTTATTGAGTGTTTATTATACCTACAGTGCTGTGCTAGAACTGGAGTGCAAGTGATTCACACTGTTCTGCTGGACTCAGCAAAGCTTTCTCCACAGTAAGCAAAATATCCTAAGATGGCCTAACACCTTTGCCTACATTATTACAAGTTGCTCTGGTTTCTTTTCATTTACTGATTTAAAAAATTATAAAACTAATAAAACTGCTGTAACATGGAGAGAACATTTAGAAAATAAATCAACAATACCACCAATTGGAACAAATTATTATTCTTATTTTGCTGAATTTCCTATCAAACTTTAAATATGCATATTTGTTTTACATAAAATTTATATCCTGCCCTTCTCATATAACATATCATAAATAATTTCTATTTCTAGAAAAGCCATAAATACTTTTTAATAGCTAAGCTCAGTAAATTAAAACTGTTCTTTTTACTACAATAGTAATATATATATCCACGAAAAAAAGGGAAAACAGGGGGAAAAAAATCTATTAATCATACTACCAGAGATCTCTGATGACATTTTGGTGGAGAGTATTGTCCTTTTTAAAGCATGAAACTATATTTTTTTAAATTAAAAAATGATGCTACAGGCCGGCCAGTGTGGCTCAGTGGATTGAACATTGTCCCATGGACTGAGAGGTCCTGGTTTAATTCCCAGTCAGGGCACATGCCCAGGTTTTGGGCTTGATCCCCAGTGGGGGCGTGCAGGAGGCAGCCAATCCATGTTTTTCTCTCACATTGATATTTTCTCTCTCTCTCCCTAAAAAAAAAATCAATAAAAACAGTTTTTTAAATGATGCTACATTATGTTTTATAACTTGCTTTTATTTATTTTTTTTACTTAATAATATATTTTAAATGTGTTCCATGTCCAAATCTCATGCTATCCTCTCATACTACTCCCTGCTTGGATATTTCTGACTTGTAGATAGAAACAGTGTCCCCACCTCAATCAGTATTTTATGGAGCGCCCAGAACTATGCTAGATTCTGAAAATAGTGTAAAATAAACAGAAGATTTAGATTATGCTTGTGCAATTATAGCATTATTTAAGAGATGACCTGACAGTGAATTTACTATTCAGTATAGAACATACATTTTCTTTAATGTACTGCTCCTAAATTCTACCTAGTTTTATTATCTATATTCAGAGTATTCTAATTTTGTATGATCTCCTGTTCATTCTTGTCTTTACTTCTAACTTCTTATTTTCATATTTTTAATGTGTTTCACATTTTATATTAGCCTGCTTTTGACACCTTGAACAATATGAACGTCATCAAGTTAGGTAGAATTCATGAATTTCAGAGTATTCGTCTGGTATCTCCTAAGAGCTTCATAAGCTAATATAACTTGTCAGTGGTCTGTCATTTCCACTTTATATGACTATATGTGGGGCCAAGTGAATTAACCTCATAGGGTTTCAAGAGATCTATCACGTCCTGAAATTAAGATTCTGCATTCACTTTAAAGGCACCATTTAAATTCTTTCAAGGAAGTAATCAAGTTCATCCTGCTTGTCTTTTATAAGCTCTAAATAACTTATTTCATAAATATTCACAAAAGTTATAATCCCTATCAGTTTTTCTGAATTTATTACATTTCTAAGAAAATTTATAAAATAAAATTAGAATCAAAATATATAGTGTTATTGTTTTCATTCTAACTATATCAAACATGATATAGTTTTATGATATATCTGTAGATTATATTACATTCTGAAAGTGAAATGTGTTTTAATAAACACTGGCTTTATAATTACACTTTGTGCATACATGTTTTGGGACACCCAATATATAATTTCATTCAAATTATATCAAACATCATTTCCCTATTTTTTCTTAGTTTTTCTAAACACAAATTTTAATATTACTTTCATGGTATAGATGGATTTTTCTGGTATCAAATTTTATCAAATGTATTTTTGGAAGACATTTATTTTTCTACTAACACTGCTAAACCTTTGTCCACATTAAATGTCTCTCTTATGTCTTCTTATAGGTGGAGCCTGGCTAACTACTATTCATCTCTTCCTCCAGGAAGGCCAACCCCACCCCCAGGCTCTTTGCAGTGCAGCTAGCTACCTGTATATATCTTTAATATCCTGCATTTATTATGCTGCACTGAAATACCTATATACTGTGTATTTCCCCAATTTTGACTGTAAGTATCTTGAGGACAGCGACTATAATTTAATCACCACTGCTTCCCCTGTACTTACTTATACAGTATTTGACATATAGTAGGCATTCCATTATACCTTGACACTTGAACAAAATGGGTTTGAACTGTGCTCATCTACTTATATGCCAATTTTTTTCAATAAATACAGTTGGCCCTCCATATCTACATTTTCCCATCCATGGATTCAACCAACAGCTGGTTGAATCTACATATGCCAAGGGCTGACTGTAGAGTCAAAAGTTATACATGGATTATGGATTATATGGGGGTCATCTCCACCTAACCCCCACACTGTTCAAGGGTAAACTTTATATAACAAATATTCAAGTTAATGGACTCAACAGTATTTTTATAAAACAGTGCTAACATAAGAAAAGAAAAAAAATGCCTCCAGAATTTCTTTCATAAGTCTATACTTTTCTAGGTTGAAAATTCTCAGACCATTCATTTCTAGGTAACTACAACTAAGAATTAAACACATTTTAACCACAACTTCTCTAGTCACCGATACCAACAACTGAGTACAAATATTTTCCCATTCAACTAGTGGAATCACAACATCAGTAAGTCACTCAACATAAAGCAAGAGATCTAATAAGACAGCAGCATTGTAGTCTGACAAATGCAGAATTCATGTAGTGGTCTGAAATGACCAAAGTTTGCATTCATTTACCTTGCAGGAAAAGTTTGTAGCTGGTTGTTTGCAAGATGCAAGATTCGCAGGTGCGGGTGCCCCACCAGGACGGGCACGCACTGATCTGTCAGGAGATTGTTGGTCAGATAGAGCAGCTGCAGGGCACTCAGACTCTCCTCCCCAGCACAAGCAGATGGCAAAGACTCCAGACTATTTGCGGATGCATTCAAGTATCTGAGGCTGACAGAACACACACACGTCAGCATTTCCTTCATGGTTATTTGTTGCCTTATGTAAAAAACGTCATGCCATCTCAGTACACTGCCATTATGTGCTCCAAAACTTATGACGAAAGTAATTTCTTCCAGGTAGTTTTCTCTAATTGGTTCTAAACAACCAAAGTTCCTTTTACTCAAGCCAAATAGAGAGGAAAGAATACAGGCTTGGTTGTATGTAGTCCTGGGCTTCTGTAGTGGCCTGAAATCTACTTTAGCTTTATCTTTTACTATCTGTTATGTCCCCAGAAAGAGTGCTGTTGAGTGCTGAGTATCATGTTCACAAACATTTGAACTGTGAAGACACCCTACAGAAAAATTTTTGTCTGATTTCAATGTCATCATATTTATTTAGCCAAATCCCTTGTAATCCCCTAATGATGAGCATATAGGCTGTTTCCAACTGTTTGCTATTATAAACATTGTAATGAGCACCACTGTATTCTTATCCAATTATTTCTTTTAGGCTACATTCCCAGAAGCAAACTTTGTTAGGGTCAAAGGATACACATATCTTTAAGCTTTTCATATATATTATCAAACTGAGCTCCAGAAAGGCTAATACCAAATTATACTTATAATATGTATTATATGTACAAATACTTTTTAGAATTTTTAAAGATTTTATTTTATGGAAAGCCCCACCAATTGTACTGAGTTGTATAAGCTGCCACACAAAGAACAAGCCAGACATTTGTAAGCTAAATGCTTTTTGTATGTTTCCTGTAGCCCGGCAATTTTCTTTCTTTCTTTTTTTTTTTTATCCTTACCTGAGGACATTTTTCCATTTTTTGTTCAGAAAAAGTGGGAGGGAGAGAGAGAGAGAGAGACAGAGAAACATCGACATGATGAAACAGACACATCGAGTGGTTGCCACCCACACGACCCAACCAGGGCCGGGGACAAACAGTAACCGAGGTACGTGCCCTTAGCAGGAATCAAACCCAGGTCTCTCTGGACCACATAGCCCAGCAATTTTCAAACTTTTCTTCTCATGGCACACATGAACTAATTACTAAAATTCTGCACACACCAAAAAATATATTTTATTTTTTGCCAAGCTGACAAAAAAAAGGGTACAATTTTGATTAATTTATACCGGACAGCTTGTTGAGTTCATTGTCATTATTTTATTTGCCAATCTAAGGGAAAGAGGTCAGTGACCCTCACTAAATAGTCAGGTATTGCATGTTTTTAAAATTCTTGCAGCACACCAGTTGAAAATCACTGCTGTAGCTTTATGTTAAATTACTACTGCTTATCTACGTTTTCTCCATTTCTAAATTGAAGATAATATTGCTTTCTCCATGTTGCAGAAGACTATATTAAAAACTAACTTTCCTTGAATGGTGGGTGACATACACATTAGATAAAGCTGACTAAGGGTATTAAAATAAGAAGACATTATCTATTGTTAATTTATAATGAGGAAGCAAACAACACCTTCTGAAATAATGTTACCTTGAAATGCAGTTTTCAAAGTAGGTAGTAAAAAAAAAGTGCTGCAAATAGAGAACGAAACTTAATGATAGCATGGTAAAGCTAGAAGCAAAAACTAAATTAACTTTAGTGGTATGCCCTTTTCTCCTAAAGAGAAAATTGAAAATTGCCAAGAAAGCTGTATTAGAATGCTGTAATTTCTCTTTAAAGGTCATAACTGTATTTGTTTTCTGAGATGAAAGTCTGAACCTTCCCCACCTGTTTGAAACTGTTTACAATACCAAAACTACTTCTTTTATTTATTTATTTATTTTTAAATCCTCACCAGAGATTTTTCCATTTATTTTCAGACAGCAGGAGGGAGAGAGAAAGAGAGAGAGAGAAACATCAGTGTGAGAGAGACACATTGACTGGTTGCCTCCCGCAGGGCCCTGACCGGGGCAGGGAGCCTAACCACAACCTAAGTATGTGCCCTTGACCAGAATCAAACCCGAGTCTCTGGTCTGCGGGCCGACACTCCAAACACTGAGCCAAATGGGCCAGGACTACAATACCAAAACTCCTTAAGTATTTGATGCTTATTTCAACTCTAGAATTGAAGATTACCACCTCATAAAACAGTGTCATATTTTATTTCATAGAAAGTACAAATGTTGCCCTGGCTGGTTTGGCTCAGCAGTTAGAGTGTCAGCCTGCAGTCCTGAGAGACCCGGGTTCGGTTCCTGCTAAGGGCATGTACCTCAGTTGCAGTTTGTCCCAGGTCCTGGTTGGGTTGTGCGGGAGGCAGCCACTCAATGTGTCCCTTTCACATCGATGTTTCTCTCTCTCTTTCTCTTCCTCTCTCTCCCTCCCACTCTATCTGAACAAAAAAAAGGAAAAATATCCTCGGGTGAGGATAAAAAAAAAAAAGAAAGTGCAAATGTTTCCACCCATAGCTGGACTATGAGGTAAACTGTTAATCTAGTTCCAAAGGTCACCCCAATGACAAGTCAGTGCAGTTTCTTTAGCCAGTGACAGCTCTTCTAAATAAAACCTGCAGTACTTACTTTAAGGCCTTGGAGAAGAGGGTATCCGGCAGTCTGGTGAGTAGGTTATGTTGAATGTCCAACACCTCGAGAGGGATGTGCTCCACTAGCATTGGGAGGTTTTGCACATGATTGTGTCCCACCATCAGTTTTCTAAGACTCAAGCTACTAAGAATTCTGGAGGTGGGGTGGAGTGGGGAGGGGGGACAGTACAAAGAAACAAAAAACTTACTTAAATCTTTCTTTCTGAGTCTGCCCTTGGCTATTTACGTGAAATCAGTGAATGAGTAGAAACATACTCTTCTAAACAGTATAATCACTGACAAGTGCCTGAGCCAAGAAAGCAGCCATGGCCATATGTTTATCCACCACCCACCAGGAAGTCATTAAGGTCATTCTGGGAAAAGGTGAGTTAATAAAAGCAAACTGCACAGAATAGATCAAAACAAACAATTTCTAGAATAAATCAATTGAGACTTAAGTCTAGAAGGCACCAAAAATTCAGTGAATCTATTAATATTAATATAGTTAACTGTAATTCATAATAAAATGTATTATAACAAAACCACTATTCTGTGCTTAAAATGTGCTAAGCCACTTATCTATGAAATTCAGAAAAAATAGTGACTGATTTGCCAAAGATCTCACATTGAATATAGTAAATGGCACAGTCAGGATTTGAACTAAGGTCCAACTCCAAAGGTTGGGTTCATATCTACTATGCTGCAAAAGTCTCTAATTTTAAAGATTCCACTAGGTGATAACCACATATTGTACAACTTATTTACCCCGTCCCCACACATTTTACAACTTATTTACCCCCTCCCTCCAAGTACCTCTCTCTTTCCCCCCTCCACACAGAAATCCCACCATCTTGTAAAAGTCAACTCAAATATATGCATTCTCCATGAAGCATTCTCTAATTATTCAAAGCTCTGAATTTCTAAAACATTTTATTTATACAGAGCAGTGATGAAGAGTGAAGACAAGAATGACAACATTCAAATGCCAGCTCTCATCACTTCTTAGTTAAGTGTGATCTTGGACAAGTTACCTAGCCACTCCAAACCTTAGTCTTCTCATCTGTAAGATAAGGATAACAGGACCCATATAATAAAGCTGTCAAAGGATTAAATAAAAGCAAAGTTCTTAAAAAATTGCCCAGCTCACAATAATTGACCCAATAAAAATGATCTAATATTAGTACCCTATCACCGACTTATGCCAGCAACTCTTGTTACATCTTATCAGTTATCTGTACACAAGTCACCTCAACTACCTGTTCACCAAGTTTCTTGCAGGACAAAACTATGCATTAGCTGTTACTGTATCCCTCACAGCACTTCACACTGCCCTGCACTCAGCAGGTAATCAACATTTATTGACCAAATGAATGAAAGTACCTATGCAAGGTAACCCAAATCTAGGAAAATAATTAAATACATACATAGATACATATATATCAATACACACATTCATAGTATATACATTTACACACACCTCATAGGAACCTCTGTCAGAAGATTGTAGCTCACATCTAATATTTCTATCTTCTTTGCTTCACAGGCCCAGTCAGGGACACACTCCAGCAGGTTTCTATAGAAAATAAATCAACACAAGTTATCATTTACGATGATGAGTGGCATTCATTTCATTAGTCTGTAATATATCTGTTAACTGGCCCGTGAGCCCCCGAGAGCGGGAGCACTATCCCCAGGCATTCGTGATCCACTACCCAGAACACACTAAGTGCTCAGTGAATGTCACTGATGGAAAGGTGGACAGAGCCCAGCTCAGTAGTTAAAAGTCAACCCATGCACCAAGAGGTCGCTGGTTCAATTGCCAGTCAGGGCACATGCCCAGGTTGTAGGCCAGATCCCCAGTGGGGGGCATGCAGGAGGCAGCCAACTAAAGTTCTCTCATCGATGTTTCTATCTCTCTCTCCCTTCCTCTTTTCTAAAAAAAAATTTTTTTAAAGGTGGACAGAGACAAGTACCCAAACATATATAATACTGGATCAATTATGCTGCATGCTCAAAGATAAACAGGCTCTCAGTAGTAGGAAAGCTCATGTGTGGTGGGATGGCTGAGGGAGAGATGAGGAAAGACTTAATGGAAGAAGTGGCATTTTAAACAAACCTTTGAAGATGAGTAAGATTTCCACAGGTAATAACTGGGAAATAAGAAAAGCAAATTCTGAGGAAAATGAACAAAATGAATAAAAGTGAGGAAGGAGAAACATAAGATAACTAGATAACTAGTGGGGGGTGGCTTCAAATCATTTAGCATGTGAATTCAAACACCGGGCAGACACCTAGTAAAAAAATTTTATTTTCAGCCCAGGCCGGTTTGCTCAGCGGTTAGAGTGTCAGCATGCGGTCCAGAGAGACCTGGGTTCGGTTCCCGCTAGGGGCGCATACCTCGGTTGCAGTTTGTCCCCGGCCCTGGTTGGTCGTGTGGGTGGCAGCCACTCGATGTGTCCCTTTCACGTCAATGTTTCTCTCTCTCTCTTCCTCTCTCTCCCCCACTCTATCTGAACAAAAAAATAGAAAAATGTCCTCAGGTTAGGATAAAAAAAAAAAAAATTTAATTTTCAGATATTACTCAGCCTCTCTAGGCCTTAAAGTATCTATTGATTGATCGATTGATACGATGAAGCAGAATGAAATAAGGCTGTAAAAGAAATGCAGATACTGCTATGATGGCTTAGTGAAGGAAGCACTTTGCTGGAATGGATCAAGGCAAGCTCCCTAAGAAATAAGACACCTGGCTTAGAATTTGAAGAATGTTGTACAATGACCTGAAGAGATATTCCAAGAAAGAGGTGACAACATGAGTGGTGAGAACACAAAGGCAAGAAAAGAAATGGCATAACAGCCCTGGCCAGTTTGGCTCAGCCATTAGAGCGTCGGCCTGTGGTCCAGAGAGACCCAGGTTGGGTTCCCGCTAGGGGCATGTTCCATGGTTGCAGTTTGTTCCCGGCCCTGGTTGGGTCATGCGGGTGACAACTACTCAATGTGTCCTTTGCATGTCGATGTTTCTCTCTCTTCCTCTCTCTCCCTCCTGCTCTAGCTGAACAAAATATGGAAAAATGTCCTTGGGTGAGGATTAAAAAAAAAAGAAAAAAGACAAGAAATGGCATAAGATATGTGAGAAAAAGAATAAGCAGTTTAGAGAAATGGAGCAGAGAGTGATGAGAAACAGGCTAGAGAGACCCAAATCATATCTGGAAGGTTGTGACTATCCTGCAGGTACAGGGGTATCACTAAAGGGTTAGTAAGTAGTGGGGAGACAATGTCAGTTTTGTACTTTAAATAGGTCACTCTATGACTACATGGAGGTCTGGTTGAGGTGATTATATTAGTAAAGGAAGAATAATCAGGAAGCTGTTACAGAATTCCAGACTAGAGATGATATAAGCCTAAATGAATGGTGATACATATGGAAGGGAGGGGAGGGTTTCCATAAGTACTTAAGAGGCAAAAAGCAAAACTGCTTGGAGATGGATTAGACATGGGAGTAGAGCAGGTAGAATAAAAAATGACTTTCAGGTTTCTGGCCTAGATGACCAGGGAGAACATCATATCCAGAGAAAGGATTGCTAAGCTCCAAATGAGGTTGGAAATCATGACTCTATGACGCCCATCTGGATATGATTGTCTTACGATAATGCCAAAAGCTGAAATAAACAAATGACAAGTTAAAATGAGAGTATAGGGGTGGATGAGTTTAATTCTGTACATATTTAAGGTAGTTGGAGATGTGCAGGTCAAAATATCTTAGTATGAAATTAGACACAGGGGTCTAATTAGACACAGGTGAAAGAAGAGGGTCTGGGCATCTGGGTGATACTGACACTGAACTGAAGTGTGGCTGAAATCTTTGCAGTAAATGAGATCCTGTCAAATAAGAAGTATAGTGGGCCAAGGGCAGACCCTGGACTAAGCAACCTTTAAAGGACTAGCTGAGGAAGAGGAGTATGCAAGAGACTGGAATGCTCAAGGTGACCTGAAACAAATCAGATTTTATTAGCCAGCTGAGGAAATAGCATTTTTGAAGAAAAGAGAGCAAGATTAACAATGTCAATATAGAAAAGTTCCATAGCCCTGGCCAGTTTGGCTCAGTGGTTAGACCATTGGCCTGTGGTCCGGATAGACCCGGGTTCGGTTCCCACTAAGGGCAAGTACCTCGCTTGCGGTTAGTCCCAAGCCCTGGTTGGGTTGTGCGGGTAGAAGTCACTTGATGTGTTTCTTTCACGTCGATGTTTCTCTCTCTCTCTTCCTCTCTCTCCCTCCTGCTCTATCTGAATAAAAAATGGAAAAATGTCCTCGGGTGAGGATAAAAAAAAAAAAAGAAAAGTTCCATAAGAGAAGGACTAAAGCAAGTTGCAGTAGGATAAGCAAATGGGAATAAGGAAGTTGAGCCAACAAATGTAAATATTTGAGAAATTTAGACAAAAAGGTGATGAAAAAGATTAGATAGTAACTAGAGGAGTTGCAAGATAAAGAGACCTTTCTAAGACAGAGGAAATAAGATTGTGTGTAGAGACTGAGAAAAAGGAAGACCCTGAGCCTACATGAGAGGGCAGGAGGCAGCTACCAGAACAGTGGGGGTGGAAGGGACAGGATCAAAGGCACAGATGGCAGACCGCCTGAACAGAGGAGAGAGGCTGAGAATAGATATGAACCTGCATGAAGAGCGAGGTGGAGGAAGCTGAGGAACATCACCCTGGACAGCCTCTACTTTCTCAGTCAAGTAGGAGGTTAAGCTCTAGAGCAGTGGAGATGAGGCGTGGTGCAGTGAGGGAAGCTGAGCAATGGGAACAGATGTCCAGGACACTAAGAGTCATGAATTTATAGTAGTGTCCATGTGATTTTCTTCAGCAAGGAGCAAGCTCAGTGGAGAAGGCCAACCATAATATTGATCCTAAATAGGGCTTTGCTAGGAAAATATGACAGAAGAAATGCACGGAAAGGAATTTAGAATAGCTTAGTAATAATTATAATAAAGTAACATCAGAAAGAAAACTGGCTATAACAACTAATATTTCTTGAGAGACTATTTTATGCCAGGCACTACGCTACATATTTTGCATTTATTATCTCATTTAATCTTTACAACACCCTGCCCATATAAGACTCTGTCCACTGCCCTGTGTACCTGCTTCTAGTACTCTCTAATCATAGCACTTATGATGCTGCCCTGTAACTGTTTTTTTGTCAAACTCTCCAACAGACTGTTAAACTCAACCACTGAATCCTGAATGCCTAACATGTTAAAAATGAAGGGGAAAAAAAACAAACTTCATTTACATTTACTTTTTTTTTTTAATGATGCTTTTATTGATTTTTGAGAGAGAGAGGATGGGAGGGAGAGATGGAAACATTGATGTGAGAGAGAAACATCAATTGGCTGCCTTCTGCACACCCTCTACTGGGGACCGAGCCCACAACCCAGGCATGTACCCTGACTGGGAATTGAACCAGGACCTCTCAGTTCATGGGACGACGCTCAATCCACTGAGCCACACCAACTGGGCTACATTTACCCTTGACCACCACCAGAAGTTAGTAAAATCCAAAATATATCTCTCTGAAATTATAATTAATATCTCTCTGAAAATCAGACCAACAAAGGTCACAAGAGTATCAAGAAAGTCAGAAAATAAACTGCATTCAAAATAAACTACTATCTAAAAACCAAGAATTGCATCATTCCATATGGCAAAAAGGAAATCAAAGCTATGATTTACCTCATCCTAAATCCACAGACTTTAAGAATGAGTAATTCAAAGACACATATCTGTTTCAAAGAGGACCCTTCCTTTGCCCTGGCTGGTACGGCTTAATTGTTTGGAGCACTGTCCCGTATACCAAAAGGTGACAAGTTAGATTTGCAGTCAGGGCTACATACCCAAGTTGTGTGTTTGATGCCCAGTCAGGGTGCATGCAAGAGGCAACCAATTGCTGTTTCTCTCTTTCTCCCTCCCTTCCTCTCACTAAGAGCAATTAAATAGATAGATCTCTAGACAGATAGGCAGGCAGGCAGGCAGGCAGGCAGGCAGGCAGACAGACAGATAGATGATAGATAGATAGATAGATAGATAGATAGATAGATAGATAGATAGATAGATAGATAGACCGACCTTTCCTTTAACTAGACAGCATGACCATTAAACTTATTTATCCACTCATCCTTTTGTACTTCTTCAGGTTATCCAAATACTTCAATATATTTAGATTTCTTGTAGCTCAAAACTATCAAATTATCCACATTCATCTCTTAAATATTAGGAATCAAACAAGCATCACCTTCATGAGACACACTCACCTGGAAAGTTCTAGAGAAGTGAGAAGACTGGGTACTGGATAGACATTCACTGCTGTCAGCCCTAATTGAAAAACAAATAGGTGTTAGTTACATTCTCTAAAGAAAGTAACTCATGGAAACAAGGGAAAAGTGGCTTAGTGAAATCATCAGAAAGAAAACTGATGCTACCTACTAATGTGAACTAAAGACAAAAACCACTGGGTAACTCACATTAACAGCTTGATCCCAATTTGAAGACCACATACAACCAATGAAGGATCTTGAGTACTGCACTGGATTCACACCAGATCAGGCAGTTGTCAAATGTAACAGCAACTACTTACGTTTTTTAAAAAATTGGTAATAGAGTTTTTGCTGGCAGTTATTTTAACTTTTAACTAAAGTAAAACATATAGAAAAGGACAACAATCTTAAGTGTATAGATCAATAAATTTTTATAAACAGAACACACTAATATAACCAGTGCCCAGATCAAGAAACAGAACATTACTAGGTCTCCAGAAGCTTCATCTCATCTACCCTTCCAGTCACGGCCCCATGCCATCCTGATTCTCTATACCACAGACTGCTTTTGCCTAATTATGTAAATATACACAAACAGTACCTGAAGTTTTTTTAAATCTGTCTTCATTCACTCCACACTGCACTTGTGAGATTTGTTTATATTACTACATATGGTTGTAGTTCATTCACTCTCCTGGCAGCATAAAACCTTTTACGTGAATGTACCACAATTAATTTATCCATTTTAGAGATAGGGCATTTAAGTCCTTTCCAATTGGGGTTACTATAATTAGTGTTTCTATTAACATTTTTTCCATGTCTTTTGTGCACTAATATAAGCATTTATATAATCATTCACATAAGCTTAGGAGAGAACTGATAAGTATAGGGGGGTACATATGTTCAGCTTTAGTAGACATACTGAACAGTTTTCCAAAATGGTTGTGCCAATTTACACTCCCAACAGCTGACAATTTCTGTCTTTTTCATTCTAGTCCCTCTGGTAGGTATGTAGTGGTATCACACTGGGGTTTCAATTTGCACATCCCTGATAACTAGTGAAGTTGGTGCCTTTTCCTATATTAACTGATCATTTGGATAACTTCTTTTGCAAAGCTGAGTTCTTTACCCTTGAGGTGTTAAAACTGCAGGTATTAATATGAATTCTCCCAGGTTATTGAATTTAAGTATTCTGTAAACAGAATAGCTAACTTCAAACAAGCCCCATTTAGTACAGTACTGTGATAGAATCTTGGTTACTAAGAAATCAAGATTGCATCTATGTCAGTAAGATCCTTTCAAATAGAGCCAGTCATTCAGATTCTTCAGATACATTAAGAATATAAAATAGGCCCTGGCCGGTTTGGCTCAGCGGTTGGAATGAATGTCAAATCGTGGACCAAAGAGTCACAGGTTCGATTCCGGTCAAGGGTTCCTCGGTTGTGGTTCGGTCCCCAGCCCTGGTCAGGGTCATGTGGGAAGCAACCAGTCAATGTGCCTCTTTTATGTCGATGTTTCTCTCTCTCTCTCTCTCTCCTTCACCCTCTCACTCTATCTGAAGATAAATGGAAAAATATCCTCGGGTGAGAATTAAAAAAAAAAAAAAGAATAGAAAATGGGCCCAGCTGGTGTGGCTCAGTAGATTGAGCATCATCCCATAAACTGAGAGGTCCTGGTTGATTCCCGGTCAGGGCACTTGCCCAGGTTGTGGGCTCAATCCCCGTGCAGGAGGCAGCCGATCAATGTTTCTATCTCTCTCCTTTCCTTTCTCTCTAAAAAAAATCAAGAAAAACATGTATTTAAAAAATAATAATAATATGCCCTGGCCAGTTTAGCTCAGCGGTTAGAGCATCGGCCCACAGACCAGAGAGTCCCGGGTTCAGTTCCTGCTAAGGGCACATACCTCGGTTGCAGTTTGTCCCCAGCCCCGGTTGGGGTTGTGTGGATAGCAACCAGTCATTGTGTCTCTCTCACATCGATGTTTTTCTCTCTCTCTATCTTCCTCCTTCCCTCCCTCCTGCTCTATCTGAAGATAAATGCAAAAATGTCCTCGAGTGAGAATAAAATAATAATAATAGAAAAGGGACCTGATAATAAATATTTCTAGGGCAAAACACCTATTATCATCTCACAATAGCTATAAACAGCATAATACTCATCAGCTTGACACTATTCTGACCTAAGCAATTAATCTAAGCTACTGTTTGAAGCTTCTGTAATGTGATTAAAGGCAATCAAAAGAGAAAACTTTATCTATCTTTTATCCTAATAATGTATTTTAGAGATACAGAAAAGACAGTAAAATAAACCCATCTTTCACCCATCATCTAGCTTTTAACAAATTTTCACATTTTGCCTTATAGGATTCAGACATTTTTACTAAGAATTAAAACATCATCCAAGATATGATTTTTATCATCCCCATGGATTCTTTCATAGTGTTATGGCATACTTATAGCTAAGAAAACAACATTTTCATGTGTTTTTAAGTTTGATAATAACTATCATAGCGTACATATAATTAAGCACGTTTTTTTACTCAAAAATGTTTCTGAGATTTAACGCAAAGCTTTAGTATACTGATTACCGTTGCTGTGCAATATTCTATTATACAAATATATCACTGCTTAGTTTACCCATTTTCCTATTAATAGTCCTATTTTTTTTTTCACTATAAAAACAATGCTGCCATCAACACTCTTGTACACATTTCCTTCTACACATGTGAGCGCCTAAGGGAGACATTCCAAGCAGGGGAACTGCCAGGACATTGGCATGTGTATCTTTAACTTCTCTGACACTGTCACATTGCTCTCCGAGGTGGTTTTGCCAACTGCCCCGCTCACTGGCAGTGTATAAGCTGCTGCTTTCCCCTATCTTCAATAGCAGTTGGCATTATTTTTTTGATTTGTATAAAACAGTATTATCTAGCCCTGGCCGGTTTGGCTCAGCGGTTAGAGCGTCCGCCTGCGGTCCGGAGAGACCCGGGTTCAGTTCCCGCTAAGGGCATGTACCTTGGTTGCAGTTTGCCCCCGGCCCTGGTTGGTCGTGCGGGTGGCAGCCACTCGATGTATCCCTTTCACATCGATGTTTCCCTCTCTCTCTCTTCCTCTCTCTCCCCCCTACTCTGTCTGTACAAAAAATGGAAAAATGTCCTCGGGTGAGGATAAAAAAAAAATAAATAAATAAAACAGTATTATCTAAATTTGCATTTCTCTGACACTTAGTGAAACTGAACATCTTTTCCTTTCCTTCTTTAAACACAGAAAAAGTAATTATAACCTCTTTGGTAAAGAAGAACTCTCTGCCCTGGCCGGTTTGGCTCAGCGATTACAGCGTCGGCCTGCGGTCCAGAGAGATCTGGGTTTGGTTCCCGCTAAGAGCGCGTAGCTCAGTTGCAGTTTGTCCCTGGCCCTGGTTGGTTATGCGGGTGGCAGCCACTCGATGTGTCCCTTTCATGTCGATGTTTTTCTCTCTCTCTCTCTCTGTCTCTCTCTCTCTTCCTCTCGCTCCCTCCCACTCTATCTGAACAAAAAATGGGGAAAAAAAATGTCTTCGGGTGAGGATTAAAAAAAAAGAACTCTCCATAAAAAGAATGACCTCAACAAATAAGAGGCCTTTTACACTGAAAAATATTCCTGAAGCAAATCACTATTGAAACAAGGAGCTCCTCACTCTAGACCGAAGCAGCACAAAGTTTTAGATAAGAAATCAGCAAAGTAAAGCTCAAAGTATCTTGCAATGTCTTTTTTTTTTTTTTTATCCTCACCCGAGGACATTTTTCCATTTTTTGTTCAGATAGAGCGGGACGGAGAGAGAGGAAGAGAGAGAGAGAGAAACATCGATGTGAAGGGACACATCGAGTGGCTGCCACCCTCACAACCAACCAGGGCCGGGGACAAACTGCAACCGAGGCACGTGCCCTTAGCGGGAACCGAACCCGGGTCTCTCTGCACCGCAGGCTGACGCTCCAACCGCTGAGCCAAACCGGCCAGGGCCTTGCAATGTCTTTTTATGCACATCTCAACCACTTAAGTGTTGACAGTAAACTTAAAGATAAAGCTAGGTCACAAAGAACCTCAAACTTTACTTTGCAGAGTGGCTGAGGAATACCACAGATGCCATTGTTCTTAGAAAGCTCTGGTGAGAGCTGTAAGGGAAAAAACAGGAGGCTGGATAGAGGACTCACTGTTAGAACTGGCGTAGAGAGTTCGAAGGGAGAAGCCACTGAGTGTCAGTTCCCTCAGCTGGTTCCGCTCACAATGCAGCTGCTCCAAGCTACACAAGGAGCTGAGATCTAAGTCAGTCAGCTGATTGTCCCGCAAATCCATATGGGTGATGTATTTATTTCCCTCCAGATTTTCAATAACCACGGTTTTCAAATGGTTCATCCTTAATATTAAAAAATAAGAAAATTATTAGAAATAAAATCTATTAAATGTGCTTATAAAGAGAAAAATAGGAGAGGTATGATCCCTTTTTCTCCTTCCTAAACAACTTAAGAATTTCACTACTTGCTTCATTTTGCAAGATACTAAGTTAAGCTTCTTGAATGATTAAAGGCAGTCAAAGGAGAAGTCCTTTTCATTCTAGAACTGAGGCAGCACAAGATTTTACATTAGAAATTGGCAAAAGGCTACATATTTATATTTGGCACTTAGTGAAGCTCAAAGTATCTTGCAGATAGCTGTACCTTAAGTTCTTTGTTTATAAACTAAGTTTGACAAATATATAACAAATTAAAGAGAAAGGAAAAAGGGACCATATCCCACAAAGTTAGTTTAAAACTTTCCATCCAAATACCTAATAAAGTTAGGTAGGGATGAAGGAGTAGGGTAAAGGAACAAGAAGGTGAACATAACCTTTTGGGTGAGTGAGCAGCAAGGCAGGCATGGGGTGTCACCATAGAAGCAAGAGAAAGCAGCCACACTCCCTTCCTTTGCTCTGCCTACTCTCTCTAGTGCTAAGATTCACATTATATTAATTAATGGAGAAGAAAGTAATCTGTATCTATATGGAACAGTTCAAGGGCAAATATAGAAAATGACTTCTTGGCTCTCATCTATAAAAGTACGTGATTTAACACACACAGACCTCTTCTCATTTTCTGTATTTCTTTTTTTTTTCTTAATTTTTTTTCCATTATTGATTTAGAGAGAGAGGAAGGGAGAGGTAGAGAGACAGAAACATCAACGAGAGAGAACATCTATTGGTCGGCTTCCTGCATGCCCCCAACTGGGGATCGGGCCCACAACCTGGGCATGTGTCCTAAGCAGGAATCAAACCAGCGATCTCTTGGTGAGTGGGTCAACATTCAATCACTGAGCCACACCAGCTGGACTAATTTTCCTGTATTTCATACATTTTTCTGTTATTGTGCCTTTATAAGGATATCAATGGCTTAGTATAAATGACAGAACATCTAGTATGTGCCTTTTACCAGCTTCCTGTAGAAAAAGATAACTAAAAAATAAAACTTTAAAAAATTAGCCCTGGCCGGTTTGGGTGAGCGGTTAGAGCATCGGCCTGCGGGCCTGAGAGACCCAGGTTCGGTTCCCGCTAGGGGCATGTACCTCAGTTGCAGTTTATCCCCAGCCCCAGTTGGGGTTGTATGGATGGCAACCAGTCGATGTGTCTCTCTCACATTGATGTTTCTCTCTTTCTCTTCTTCCCTTTCTCCCTCCCACTCTCTCTGAACATGAATGTAAAAATGTCCTCGGGTGAGGATTAAAATTTTTTAAAAATTATTAGTAGTAAAACTTTTAACATTTAAATTATAATACAATGGAAATCAAGAAGAAACCCAATGAGCCCAGCCAGTGTGGCTCAGTGGTTGAGCATTAACCCTCGCATCAAGAGGTCGCCAGTTTGATTCCCAGACAGGGCACATGCCCAGGTTGTGGGCTCAATCCCCAGTGCGGGGCATGCAGGAGGCGGCCAGTCGATGTTCTCTCTCATAGATGTTTCTATCTCGCTCTCCCTCTCCCTCTCTCTATAAAATCAATAAAGATTTTTTTTTAGAAAAGACACCCAATGATTCAACAGAAAAATGGTCACATTTATAGAAAAACAGAAACTACCAATCAATAAGGATATAAGAAGATGCTCAACCTCACTCATAAACTGATTAAAAAAAAAGAAATACTATTTCTACCTACTGCCTGACAATAAGGAAAAAGACTGCTAAAATCCAACACTGACAAGGATGTGAGGAAATGGAAATTCTCATAAAATGTTGCTGGAAGGGTAAGTTAGAACAACTTCTGTCAAAGGCATTTTGAAGTCTATCATGTGGAACACCTATACCTCATTCATAATCTCTCTGCTATTGATTGAAAGGGGAAGTTTTATTACATCTTTGAAATATAACTTTAAAAGCCTAATATTTTAAACAAGTCTTTATAAAGACAAAGCTTAAAGTTCCATCAGAGGTCCATCTAAAGAAGACACGGTAACAAATGAGCTTACCTTAAATCTACGTGTTTGATATGACTCATCCTGTTCAGCAACCCTAGGTTTAGGACTTCCAGTCGATTTCCTGCCATAACCACTTTATCTAACATAGTGAGTTTCTCATAAACCTCAGGAATTTGACTAAAGTTGTTGAAGGAAATTCCAAGGGAGGAAAGCTGTTGCAGATTTCCCAATTCTTCAGGCAAAGTATTCAGAAAGTTGCCATCAAGACAGAGAGTTTGAAGACTGTAGGAAGAAAACAAAACAAGTCTACTTTATTAAAGGTTTTCATTGAAATGGATAGAACTAGAATTATGGATTCTAACTTATGTCACTAATTTATACGAATATGATAAATGATAAAAATGTCCTAAGATGGCTTATATATAACTGACATTAATGGTCACGCCAACATCAAAGATAGAACCGATGCTACTGAAACCAAGGGACTAGTCACTGCTGTAGGCAAGTAACTGCTGCAAGTCAGAATGCTCATAATTACAGGATTTATTTCACTGTGAGAGCACAGGTACTACCTTCATTCCAAATGTCAGATAAGTAACTTATTCTGCCAGGGAAATGAAGAATCTAGTAAAAGTTGTGATACTTACTTTAGGAGATTGCCAATCTGACTTGGCAGGTCGTGAAATCCATTACAGGAAAGATTTAGCTCAGTCAGGGTAGAAATCTCACATAACAATACAGGAAATAACCCAAGTTTATTATGGGACAAGTTTAGGCCCTTCAGCTGAGAAAATCTAAAAAGCAAAGGCACAAATTATATAGACACTATTGAATGAGAAAGCAATCTGTTTTAAATGTTCATTACAGAATTTGTCCCACAAATATTTATTGAGCACTCGCTATGTGCCAAACATTGTGCACAGCACAGATGCTAAGATGACCAAACGCTCAGTCCAGACTATCAAGGGAACCAGATCTAGTGCAATGGGAGGCCTCTCTTTTCCTTAAAAAGGCAGAAAATCTTGAATAAAAGCTCATGCTGGTACAATCATGTTGCATCAAGTCATACTGATACACTTGAAATCTTTTCCTTTATTAAATTTCTACATGCAATATAACATACAAAAGCCCTGCAACAACTAACCAATTCACAGGAATAGCTAACATGCAATATCTCTTTATAAGCAACTTTCTTCATATTGAAATTATGTTGGCTCAAATGTCACTTAAAATCAATGGGCCACTTATATCACACTTAAGATATGTATGTAATATGGAGTTTTACAGTAATGTGATCTGATATACAACATGAAATTATAAGTACTAGTGTTTCTATTTTGTTGGTACAAGTAAAAGTACTGATACTGTCTTAGCCAGAGACAGTATCAGCCTAAATTGGATCCACTGAAGTCACTCTAGTAATTCTACTTTGGAGTATTATACTTCATTATTATGTTAGTGCAAGATGGTATGGCTGAGGCAGTGGTCTCCACAATGAATCTCTATATCAACTGCTTCAAGATTTGAATCCTTGGTATCTCTCTCTAATGCTCTTCTTCCTAATTTTCAACTCTTGATTTCTAATTGTACTGACACTGAATACTGATTGTGGCCTTGGTGCCTTAACTTCTGAATTCCTAACCCAGCCCTCAAACTAAAATAACCCTATTTTCATAGCAACTCAGAAGGAAATGCTAGAAGCCCACTTCCTTAAAATTATAGCTTGTTTTTATTTTTTATATATCATTATTATTAAAACAATGATCTCACTACTAAATATAAATTTATACTTGAAAAACTTTGTAAAATGTGAGATAAAAATAAGAGCTTTCTGAAATTTATTCTAGGAATATCAGTTATTGAGTGTGTAAAATGTCATTTCAATGTGTATTATCTTCTTAATCACCATGCAATTTGATTGCTTTAATTTCCAATTTCTCTCCTCCCCACAAGAAGCCCAGACAATTACTTATACCATGTATTTATTCCCTGCCATACATTTTTAAATGGAAGAGGGAGATGACATGAGTGGAGACTGGGAATGGGAAATATATTTTAACAAAGGATATGGAAAATATATGGGTCATAGTCTAGTCCCTTAGGAATGAAATGGTTCCTATATTAGAAGAAATAGTTTCATAGCTAATAAAAGGCTATTGTTGGCAGTAGCACATACAAAGAAAAGATAAAGCCCTAACCTGTGAGTAGAAATTAGAAATATTCCCTTTTAGTCATTTATGTTTGATACTTTTTTTTTTTAATCCTCACCCGAGGATATTTTTCTATTTATCTTCAGATATAGTGGGAGGGAGAGAGAGAGAAACATTGATGTGAGAGGGACACATTAATTGGTTGCCTCCTCCACGATCCTGACCAGGGTCAGGGACGAACCACAACCAAGGTATGTGTCTTTGGCTGGAATTGAACCCGCAACTCATTGGTCCGCGGGCCAACGCTCTCTACCACTGAGCCAAACCAGCAAGGGCTATGTTTGATACTTTTGATTCAAAAACTTCCATAAATTGAATCTCTCAATTTACCCTGGCTACATATCCTGTATCACTGTCAATAACTTACTTAAAAAGATAATCCAGATCAATGGCAGCTCAATGTTGCCTCCATAACAAAAAATTTGCATCTATTTTCTATTTTACAGGGGGGGAAGGAAAATTATATAAATAAAATTTTTACTTCCTCTTCAAAATGGAGGATATATATATATATGATAGTAAGAATGCTCACTCCTAAGAATAAACTACTAAGATATTGGTTATGATTCTTCTTTTTTTAATCCTCAACTGAGGATAATTTCTCCATTGATTTTTAGAGAGAGTGGAAGGGAGGGATAGGAGAGAGAAAAACATCAATGTGAGGGAGACACATCAATTGGTTTCCTCCTGCATGCGCCCCAACCAGGGCCAGGGATCAAATCTGCAACCCAGGTACATGCCCTTGACTAGAAATCGAACCTGTGACCCTTCAGTTTGCAGGCTGATGCTCTAACCACTTAGTGACATCAGCCAGAGCTGACACACACACACACACACACACACACACACACACACACACACACACGTGTGTATATATATGTATATGTCTTTTTTTTAAAATGTTTTTTCTTTACTGACTTTATTTATTTATTTATTTTATCCTCAACCGAGGACATTTCTCCAGTTTTTTTTGTTCCGATAGAGTGGGAGGGAGAGAGAGGAAGAGAGAGAGAGAAACATCGATGTGAAAGGGACACATCGAGTGGCTGCCACTGGCATGACCAACCAGGACCGGGACAAACTGCTACTGAGGTACGTGCCCTTAGCGGGAAAGAAACCCAGGTCTCTCTGGACCGCAGGCCGACACTCTAACCGCTGAGCCAAACCGGCCAGGGCTCTTTAATGACTTTAGAAAGAGAGGAAAGGAGAGAAAGAGAGATAGAAACAGCAATGAGAGAGAACACTGATTGGCTGCCTCCCGCATGCCCCCACTGGGGATCAGGCCCACAACCTAGACATGTACCCTGACCGGGAATCCAACTGGCGACCTCTTAGAGCATGGGCTGACGCTCAACCACTGAGCCACACCAGCCGGGCTGATTATGATCTATTTTTAATAAGTTAGTCTGGAAACCTATTTTCCACATACTTGTAAAGAGTGTCAAGGCCCCCTGGTCTTTCTAATTGCATGAAGTTGTGTCGCAAGTTGAGGTAGGTGATATCTTGACTGTAGAAGAGATGTTCAGGAACCTCCTCAAGGCTGTAACATGAGAGATCAACAGTACTGATTCGCTGGGACACCACCTGAATAAGGTCAAAGAGAAGATCCATCTGAGCTAGTACTGAATACTCTCACCCAGCAAAGTATGGAATGGCATTTACACAAGAAGACACGAACTAAAAAGATGGGAAGGAAAAAAGGTAATGAGATCCAATTATTCATTTATCAAAACCAGTTAATTTTTATTTTCCTGAAATCATAAGCCGCTAGGAAAACCCAAAGGTATGCTATAAAGTATCTGTAAGAAGAACTAAAAAATTTATAAATCATAAAGATGGAAAAGTAACATTTCATGCAATATGTAAAGTTAAGATGATTCAAAATAACTACAAAACTTTGGGAGGCAGTGGGATATGGAAAAACATAGCCTTTTGTAGCCACACAGGCTGTGCTCCTTACTAGTGCAGTTTTTTCATCTGTACTAATGAGGATAAAATTTAAAAAACCAAGTCCTGGCCAGTGTGACTCAGTAGGTTGGACATCATCCCATGCACTGAAAGGTAGTCGGTTGGATTCCCAGTCAGGGCACATGCCTGGGTTGCAGGTTCAATCCCTGGTAGGAGGTGTGCAAGAGGCAGCTGATGACGTTTCGCTCTCACATCAATGTTTCTCTCTTTCTCTCCGTCTCCCTTCTTCCTTCCTCTCTCTCAAAAAAAAAAAAAAAATCTTTAAAAAAGAAATTAAATAACCAAGCATATAGCACACTGCTTAGCATTCAAAAGGTGCTCAAAAAAATATTAACTTCTGCCCTGGCCGGTTTGGCTCAGCGGTTAGAGCGTTGGCTTGCGGTCCAGGGAGACCCAGGTTCGGTTCCCGCTAAGGGCATGTACCTCTGTTGCAGTTTGTCCCTGGCCCTGGTTGGGTCGTGTGGGTGGCAACCACTCGATGTGTCCCTTTCACGTCGATATTTCTCTCTCTCTCTCTCCCCCTCCCACTCTATCTGAATAAAATACCGAAAAATGTCCTCGGGTGAGGATTAAAAAAAAAAAAAAAAATTTAACTTCTCAGGGCAGAAGAATGGAATAGCTACCAAAAATTGAAACTAGATTTACTCTGAGCAGATTGTATTACACAATATAAGTATAGAAAATTCAATAATACCAAAATGAGGTATAGAAAACATGGGTTCTGAAAAGAGGATCTAAAAATACAAACAAAATATCAGTGAAAAAGTAATTCACATTTTGATGACAGGTCTTTATACTGAAACAGTCCTTTATGCAACAACTTAGTTCCACAAAGAAAAATGTGTTAAAATTCTGTGAAGATAGTTAGGAGAACAAGAGAATTTGAAAACTGCAATACAACTTTAGAGAACTTCATCATTACAGGCTATAAAAGCAGAAATTATGCTGAAAAGCTAATTATCCTAAGCATATAGGAATAAAGGTCTATGACAGGATCACAGGTCATGTCCTATCTTAAGTTCAAATCTGAAATGGTACATCAAAGCTGTGTTAAATATATACAGACCAAGAACACTAGGCTACCAGTTGGGAAATGATTCCGTCACCAACTATTATGGTCGAGGGAAAGTCATTTGAATCTCATTCCTTCAAGGCCTTTCCTCCACACAGAAATGGGAAAAAGGTAAATGCACCTGAAAACACTTTTGAAAGCATTTTGTACTATGCAAATATAAATAAGTTAAGGACCTGATAGAATTTCTTGATGGTATTCATTACATACTCAGAAAGGCCTAGAATAAAATGTGTAAGAATTATAATTCACTCTTGGGAGTAACTTTAGTTTCAAAATACATTTCTATTGCACTTCTACATGATCTCCACATGACATCTGACAGCGTATTACCTTGGATGCCTGCCGTTGCCATCTCTGGTACTCAGCCAAAGTCTCAAAGCTGACATGATAAGTCTGAGCCTGAGCTCCAGCCGAGCTGAATGCAAGGGAGTACTGCCTTCGTTTCACTTCTTCTACCTGCAGAAGAGGAGGAAAGAAAACCAGAACCAATTTTTTTAAAATCCTAGTCAAAAAGCAAAGGATAATAGCAAGATAATAACTCAACTTTTTAAAATAGGCAAAGGATCTGAATAGACATTTCCCCAAAAAAGACAAACACATGAAATGATGTTCAATGTCGTTAGTTATTAGATAAATACAAATCAAAACCATGAGCTACCACATTACATTCACTAGGATGGCTAAAATAAAAAATACAGATAAATGTTAGATAACAAGTATAGGAAGGTTGTGAAGAAACTGGAACCATCATATACTGCTGGTGAGAATGTAAAATGGTGCAGCTAATTTGGGAAACAATCTGGCAGTTCCTCAAAAGATTAAACAGAGTAGAGTAAGCACGTAACCCAGCAATTCCACTCCTAAGTACAGCCCCAAGAGAACTGAAAACATACAACCATACAAAAACGTATCCATAAATTATAGCAGCACTATTCATAAAAGTGGAAACAACCTAAATGTCCATTAATAGGTAAAAGTATAAAAACATGGTATATCCACAATGAATATTATTTAGCCATAAATAAGAATAAAATACTGATACACTGTACAACATGTATAACCCTTGAAAACATGCTAAGTAAAAGAAACCAACACAAAGAACCATATATTTTATGATTCCATTTATATAAAGTATCCAGAAAGAGTAAATCTGTAGAAAAAGAAAACAGATTAATAGGTGACTAGGGCTGGGAAAAGAATGGGGAAATGATGGCTAAGGAGTATGAGGTTTATTTTCAAGGACATGAAAATATTCTAAGATTGATTGTGGTAATGGGCATGACTATAAATACATTAAAAGTCATTAAATTGGCCCTGGCCAGTTTGGCTCAGCAGTTAGAGCGTCGGTCTGGGGTCCAAAGAGACTCAGGTTCAGTTCCCACTAAGGGCACGTACTTCGGTTGCAGTTTGTCCCCGGTCCTGGTTGGGTCATGCGGGTGGCAACCACTCAATGTGTCCCTTTCATGTCGATGTTTCTCTCTCTCTCTCTCTCTCTCCCCCTCCCACTCTATCTGAACAAAATATAGAAAAATGTCCTCGGGTGAGGATTAAAAAGAAACAAACAAACAAAAAGACATTAAATTGTACACTTTAACTTTTTTAAAATATATTTTTATTGATTTTTTTAGAGATAGAAATATCAATGGGAGAGAGAAACATCCATTGGCTGCCTCCTGCATGCCCCCTACTGGGGATCAAGCCCAAAACCCAGGCATGTGCCTTGACTGGGAATCAAACCAGGACCTCTTAGTCCATGGGATGATGTTCAATCCATTGAGCCACACTGGCCAGGCTTAAGTTGTACATGTAAATGGATGAATTGCATGGTATGTTAATTATATTTCAATAAAACTGTTTATAAAAAGCAAAAGAATACTTATTTAACAAGTATGTTGAAAGAGGGGACTCACAGCATAATCATGAATGAATTTATTATTCTGTAAGTCACAAAATAATCTCAATTTGATACTAAATATTTGTTGAATGAATACATTCTACTGTTCTGGGTGCTGAGGGCACAACAGGGGAAAAACAAAACCCCTGCTCTCAACTGAGTTTATACTTGAAAGGAAACAAACACTCTAACACCAAAACTGTGACATAATATAGCATGACTTGATACAATGAATAATATGAAGAAAAATAAAGCAGGGTAAGGGCTTGGAGGGGAACAGGGTAGATGGTCTGAAAGATGAATAGGGAAGTCAAGGAAGGACTCACTGAGGAGATAACACATGAACAAAGACCCTAAGTGGTTCAAGGAGCAAGGTGAGGAAACCTCCTAAGGGAGAAGCAGCAACAGCAAGTACAAGTCCCTGTGATGCAAGAATTTATTCTGTGTTTCAAAACAGGAGTCTCCAGAACAGGCCCATGAGTTAAGAGGCAAAGTTTCTACTTCAAATATTAGACTGCTCCAACCCTTTCCCCTAACACTCGGGCAGACTGGAGATAGCTGCCCGCCTGCCAGGTAGGTGCCCTAGCTTGCTTTCTGGACTCTTCCTCCCTTACTTACTAGGTGCTGTGCTAGATGCCATATCTGACTCCCTCCGGGGTTGAAGTGGAGAGTGAAGAAGGACAAGGAAGCTATAAACCCAAAGGTTCTTACTAGACTAGTAGTCATAACCTGACTTCACACTCTCTGAGTATAGTAGATTTTAAAGGGGATTTAAAAGCAAGTCTCAATGGGTCCTTCTGAGGGTTCTCTGGATAATCCCCACTAACCCCAATCCAACCAGTGACAACTTTTCACAGATCTTTTGACCTAGCTCATGAATACTATTCCAGCAACTGACCACTACCCCTCCTCAGACCCGAAGGAATCTGGTGGTTCATTCACAGCCTGTCATCTAGTGAAGCCTGTTTGCCCCTCCAGGTGGCCCTATTGGACATGTTCTAAATGAATCCACCCACTCAACCAGTGGCTCTGGCTCTCTCAACCCATCTGAGTCACAAACTAACAAACCCAAGGAGTACACATTGATCCCAATGCATGAGCTAGGATCTTTGCTCTATCACCAAAGCAGTTAGATAGCCTATCTATCTCTCATCCTCAGGACTGCCTGGTCAGAAGTCAGGACACCAGCCCACTATGTTCTCCTTACTGCAGGGGACCTGTATCAAGGTCTCTTGAGTCCTGCTGAAACCTTTCACCAAGCTTGAGGAAAGAGGCAGAAACCTCCCCGTTCTCATTTGAAATGGTGGTAGGGATTCATGGCACAACAGCTTTCTTCAAAGAAAATTTCCAAATCCGACAGCCTGACCTACACAGCTTTGATAAGGATTTTTTTTTTTTTTTGGTATGTGCCCCTGGTGGAAACTGAACCCGGGACTCTCTGGTCCACAGGCTAATGCTCCAACCACTGAGCCAAACCAGCTGGAGCAAGGATGAAGTCTTTTCATAGTTATGGAACCACTCACATCTTGTCTGACATTCTAGCTCTGGTATATCATAGCCACTACATCCTAGTGGGTCAGCTGGAAACTCCCAAGTTATATTCATAAATCATTAGGCGTCTGGTGCCAAGTAAAGAATGAATCAAGTGCCAGAAACAAAATAGTTTAAGCAAAAAAGAAACATATTAAAAAGATCCAATAAAATTAAATAATATTCATAACTTTCAATTGTGATGCTCACAACATGAACGTTTTTCTTAGTAATAGATCACTAATCGAATGAGTCTGTGTCAAAATAATCTTATTGAAATGAAGATTAGATATTGTTTTAAATTAATCTTCCCTTTTAAATGTTCATTATGGGATGCTGACGCAGAAAAATATAGTCATGTAATGTCTAATACTGAGAAAAGTTTGTAAATCTCCCACTAGAAGTAAATTTGTCAACTTCTCTAGGTAATTACGTTAATGTTTGCATTATGTATGTTGAGACTACATTGTAAAATATGTGCAACTTCAGAATTATTAAATATTCATGGTGAAATTTTGTTTCCATCAATTTGTAGTGAGGCTCTTTATCCCTACTATGCTTTTGCATTAGTCTTTTTTGGAAGGTAAGTTTTATTGAGGCATAATTTACATAAAATTTGTAGATTAAAAAAAATTCACTAGTTTTAAGTAAACCAATGAGTAAGTTTTTATAAATGACTATAGTTGTATAACCCCATCACCCCTCTAATTTTCCTTGTGCCCCTTTGCATTCAATCCCCTTCCCTCTACACCCTGATAACCAGTGATTTGTTTCCTATCATTTCAATTTTGTCTTTTTTAGAATTTCATATAAATGGAATCATACCATAAAAAGACTTTTTGACACTATGTAGCTGTTAAGAAAGAAAAATCTCAGATAAATAACATGAATGTATTCCTGCAAACCCAGGTAAAACAGACCTGTATTTTATGTTAATAACTTTAAAAAATATCAATTAAACTTTAATTACCCATAAAAATAAAAGTAAAAATAAAAACTTTTTTGTACCTAGCCTCTTTCACTTACATTAATGCTTTTGAGATTCATCCTTGTTCGTATATGTATCAGCAGTTCATTCCTTTTTATTGCTCAGCAGTATTCCACCGTATGGATATACCAAATCTGTTTATCAATTCACTAGTCATTTGGGGTTGCTTGTAGTTTTGGGCAATTATTCACTTAAAAGTCTTATTAAGATATATGTTCATTTCCCCATACCTAGCAGAACTGCTGGGTCATCCAATAAGCATATTTAACTTTATAAGAAAGAAACAAACAAAAAAAAGGTTTCAAAGTGACTGCATCTCCACCAATGATGTATGAGTGTTCCAGTTGCTCCCCATCTTTGCTAAACTTGGTATTTGTCAGTTTTTTATTTTAGTCATTCTAGTGTAGTATCTAACTGTGATTGTAATTTGCATTTCTTAATATCTAATGATGTTGAGAATCTTTTCATGTTTATCTGCCATCTGTATATCTTCTCTGATAAAGGGTCTGTTCAAATCTTTAGCCCTTGCCCTGGTGGGTTTTGCTCAGTGGTTAGACATCGGCCTGCAAACCAAAGGGTCATGGGTTTGATTCCAGTCAAGGGCACATGCCTGGGTCGCAGGTGTGATCCCCAACCCCAACCAAGACCATGCAGGAGGCAACCAACCAATGTGTCTCTCTCACATCAATGTTTCTCTCTCTCTCTCTCTTTCCCTCTCTCTCTCTTCTCCCTCCCTCTCTTCTACTATACCTAAAATTAATAAAAAATATCCTTGGGTGAGGATTAACAACAACAAAAAAGATCTTTAGCCCTGGTCAGTTTGACTCAGTGGTTAGAGCGTCGGCCCATGGACCAATGAGTAGCGGGTTTGATTCCGGTCAAGGGCATGTACCTTGGTTGCAGTTCGTCCCTGGCCCTGGTCGCAGTTCGTCCCTGGCCCTGGTCGGGTTGTGCAGGAGGCAATCAGTCCATGTGGCTCTATTACATCGATGTTTCTCTCTCTCCCTCCCTCCCACTCTATCTAATGATAAATAGAAAAATATCTTCAGGTGAGGAATAAAAAAAGAAAAAAGATCTTTAGCTTGTTTTTTGCTAGGTTATTTGTCTATAACTGTATTGTAAAAGTTTTTTATATATTCTGGATACAAGTCCTTTGTTGCATATAAACTTTCAAGTAAATGTTTTGTATGATATTACTATAACCATATTAATTTTATTTTGGTTGCTATTTGACTAGTGTAATTTTTACATCATTTCAGGTTCAACCTTCTAAGTTTTAGCTGTCTCTTTTAAACAGCAAGTAGTAAGATTTAAATAACAATCAGACAATCACAATTATTGTGATTACTGATATATTTGGATCTATTTCTATTACTATGACTTGTGATAATTTATCATGCTAATTATTTTGCTCCTTTTTTCAACTCTTTTCCTGTCTTCTTTTAGCATTACAGATATTGTATATTATCTTTTCCCCCTCTACTTTTAGTGGTTATCCTTAAAATTTTAAAATTCATACTTGACAATTTTTCTAATAAAGATTAAAGTTGCCCTGGCTGGTTTGGCTCAGGGTTACAGCGTCAGCCTGCGGTCCAGAGAGACCCGGGTTCGGTTCCCGCTAAGGGCACGTACCTCGGTTGCAGTTTGTCCCCGGCCCTGGTTGGGTAATGTGGGTGGCAACCACTCGATGTGTCCCTTTCACATCGATGTTTCTCTCTCTCTCCCACTCTATCTGAACAAAATATCGAAAAATGTCCTTGGGTGAGGATTAAGAAAAAAAAAATTAAAGTTATCTGGTGTTTTTATTCTCTTAACTGAAGACTGCATCACACTTTACTTACGGAAAATACCACCACATCCTGAATATTGTTCAGTGAGTTAGAGCTCTAGTAGTTTAAATTTATAATTAAAATATAAAGTTTTTAAAACTTTTTACAATCAATATTAAATTTACCACCATATTTTATCAATGTGTGTACTATTGTTTCTTATATCTCACATCTTCCCTTTAAATTTACTTTCCTTTGTTGGTCTTTTTCCTTTTCCTTTTTTTTTTCCCCCCAATAAGGGGTTGTTTTTTAGAAGTACATCCTTCAGTAGTTCTTTCAGTGAGAATGTCAGCTCATTCATTAGTCTTTGCCTGAAAATGTCCTATTCTGTCTTGACTCTTAGATAACTCAGCTGGCTATAAAACACAGGTTGACTCTAATTTTCTTTCAGCAATTTTGTAGTCTTCCAGCACATACTGTTGATGAAAAGAAGACTGTTGTTAGCCTGTCAATTCTTCGTAGGTAATCTTTTTCTCTCTGGAAGCTTTTACTATTTGCTCTTTGTCCTTCATGTTCTGCAATGTGTCTGTCTAAACGTACATTTATTTTTATTTATCCTACTTAGTACCCCATGTACTTTCAGTCTGAACGCTCAAGTTTTTCTCTACTTCTGGAAATTTCAACCATATTGTTTTAGCTATTGCTTTACCATTCTCCTCTACTCTCTTCTTTAGAACTCCTATTAATGTATACCAGCACCTCCTTTAAGAGCTCTTATATATTTTTTTATCTGTGAAATGTTTCAGCACACCAATTAATTATATTAACCTGCAAAACAGCGGCTTAAAAAAAAAACAGAGTCAGTCCATAACTGGTACAGTAACTCCATGATGCCACCAGATACCCTAATGCCTTCTAATTTCCAAATGATCACACTCAGTATATGCTTGCCATTCCCAACACCAAGGGACTGTACTGGAGGACAAAGCAGGGCAAAGGGTCAAGCCATCCATATCTATCCCATTTTAAAGGGCTTTCCCAAAAGTCCCACCTGGAAATTTTCTTTTACATCTACTAGCCACCACTAGCTGCCAGGGAGGTTGGGGAGGTATAGTTTTTTATCTTGGTCATATTGCCACCCTAAACAAAATTCTCTTCTATTAGGGAAGACAGAGAATAGTCAAGAATTACTTGAATGGAAGGTTCATTTTTTTACTTTCTTGCTCTGTCTCACGTTTCCTCTCCACCTACCTCAACCTTGCCTTCACTCACTTTCTCCCTTTGGAGAAATTTTACTTAGTTTCTTCATTCAGTCCTTCAGCACCCCCAAGACCAGAACAGGTCTCATATTGGTAGTATTGGGTTCCCGCCCCATGGTTGATACTGGAATTACACACATTCATTCATTAAGCCAGTTGGGGCTTATTCATTTCCTGATCATCAGCCATATAACTGAGTCCTCTCACTTCTTTGGGGACCATAGCTGGAAATCAGCCCTGGTTCCAATGAGTGGATAACAGCAGTTTTGGGTTTTGGTTTTTTGATTGTTAGTGTTTTTTTCCTACATATCTTTCAGGAGCAGAGTACCACTCATATCCTGGCTCAAGCAATAGGACAGCACCAGGTCCTTCCCTTCATCATGAGCAGAGCACTTTTAGATCCAAATACTTACAGGAGTAGAACTCCTGGGCAGCCACAGCCTTTCAGACCCAGAGCCCAGCAGATCCTCAGATTCAGACCTACTATGTTTTCATTCAATATTCTTAAGTCTGGCTGTATCTTTTTATTTACTATTATTATTATTATTTTTTAATCCTCACTGAAGGATTTTTTCTTATATTTATCTTTAGATAGAGTGAGAGGGAGGGAGAGAGAGAAAGGGAAAGAGAGAGAGAAACATCGACATGAGAGGAACACATCGACTGGCTGCCTCCTACACAACCCCGACCACGGCTGGGGATGAACTACAACCAAGGTACGTGCCCTTGAATCAAATCCGTGACTCTCTGGTCCACGGGTCCATGCTCTAATCACTGAGCCAAACCAGCCAGGGCTATATCTTTTTATATATTTATCAGTTTATTACACATATTTTATCTACATTGCTGTGTAGATAAGATTGGATGTTTCAAAGCATAAATTTAGTCATTTTGTCTGGAGGTTCTCTTAAATTCAGAATTCCTCTGATGAGGAATTATCTAGTAAAGATGCAAGAAATGACATGTCTCCATGGTTGCTAGATGGGGGCTTATGACCATCCCAGAGTCTGAATTTTTAGACTAATGAGAAAAAAAGGAGAAAGTGGAAAGAATCTATATTGGTGATCAATAATGGCAGCTACTTTCAGTTTCCAAAGGCAGCTTCTAGTGTTAGTATCTTCTGTCTACTCTTGGTGTTACCAGCACCTACCAGTGGAGACAGTAGTATCATCAAAAGGATTCTGTGTCAACATTTGGAGCATGGATACCCTTTGGACCTTCCAGAAAGTCTGTGATGCAAATAAACCTGTTTATGCTTAAATTAGCCTGAGTCAGTTTCTTTCACTTAAACCTAAGAACTCGAAAAGACAAATTTTGGCCCTGGCCGGTTTAGCTCAGCGGTTGGAGCTTCGGCCTGCTGTCCCGAGAGACCCGGGTTCAGTTCCCGCTAAGGGCGCGTACTTTGGTTGCAGTTTGTCCCCGGCCCTGGTTGGGCCGTGCGGGTGGCAGCCACTTGATGTGTCCCTTTCACGTCAATGTTTCTCTTTCTCTCTCTCTCTCCCTCCCCCTCTGTCTGAACAAAAAATGGAAAAATGTCCTCGGGTAAGGATCAAATAAATAAAATAAAAGACAAATTTTGTGATGTAATCACTAATAATGCTCATATTATCTTCTTTTAAAAGATGTGAAAAAGTTATAAAAAGCAAACGTGATTTTTTTAAATTAAGGTGATCAAATGAAGAATAATTCATCTTTGTGAGTCTTACCTTTCCCCCAACCAGAGGCAAAATGTGCATCTTTCCAGTTTGACAATCCTTTACTGAGGAAACGATGAGGCAGGTGCCACAGAGAACAACCAGGCGTTCAGCCCATTTATGCAGCTGGGTCTTCCCCTTGCGTACATTATAGATGCCAGAGAGAAGGATTCGATCCAGATGATCCATCTGGCATGGTTTTTCTGAAAAGAAAACAGTACTTTAGAAGCCACAATTTAAGTAGGATAAGAACACTAAAAGGGAAAAAGAAAGTATTATATGTCACCATTTAGCAACCTTGTTGAGAGATGTAAGCAACCAAGCAACATAAGTTTTACAAAATAAGATCTCAGTACTAAAACGTTATCAATCACTGAAGTTATTGTAATGAGATTAGTGTGAATTTTTGTTTAGAGAGCAAGGTTTTATTTTGGGTGACACTGTTAATTCTTCTTCCAAAAGCCGTATCTCCATGTACACAAAGAAAGGCAGTATTGCCAAGTGGTTAAGATCATGGACTTGGGAGCCAGACAGTCAAACCTGAGTCTGAATCCTGATTCTGCCATTTACTTTGTTCCTTGAACTGCTTAATCCCACTAAGCCTGATATTCCTCATAACACAGTTTGGATTTTAATAGTCCTACCTACCTTCAAGGGATTCTTATAAAAAATAAGATAATGAATATAAAGTACTAAGCCTAGTTTTAGGTAGAAAAGAAGTACAAAATAAATGACAAGTGTTACTGTGATCAGTCTATTCTAGAAGGAAGAAATAAATAACTGTACTGGCCAGGTAGTTAGGTTGGTTAGCGCATCATCCCACTGCGCAAACGTTACAGGTTTGATCTCTGGTCAAGGCACATATAAGCAGTCACCAATAAATGACTGCATAAGTAACTGGAAAAACAAATATCTCTCTCTCAAATCAACAAATAAAGTAAAATAAAAAAAATAAATTAATAACTATGGAAGCACTCTAGTTTTATACACAATCCCATCTTTCTGCTCATGAGGAAAAGCTTATAGCTGATACTGTATTTCAGTCAACCATGCCAATCATGGTGGCAGAAGTTAAATGTGCATGTTAGAGCTTCTCCTTCTTTTAGCACCATCCACCCCATTAGAAATCTTTATATGACTGAGATATAGTGAAGAAAATAGAGCATTAGGACAGAACAGATGTCTTGGTTAAAGCACTACTAGAAGTAGACAAGTAGCTCAGCTGGTGTGGTTCAGTGGTTGAAAGTCATCCCATGGACTGAGAAATCCTGGTTCGATTCCCAGTCAGGGCACATGTCTGGGTTTTGGGCTCGATCCCCAGTGAATGCAGAAGGCAGCCTTTCCATGTTTCTCTCTCACATCAATGTTTTTCTCTCTCTCTCTCTCTCTCCCTTCCTCTCTCTCTAAAAAAAAATTAATAAAAACATATTTAAGAAAATAAAAATAGCCCTGGCCAGTTTGGCTCAGCGGTTGAGCGTCGGCCTGCAGGCCAGAGAGTCCCGGGTTCAGTTCCTGCTAGAGGCATGTACCACAAAAAAAAAAAAAAAAAAGAAAGAAAAATATATAGATGTAGACAAGTAACTTTACACAGAGATGAACAGGAGCAGCAATAGTATGAGGTGATGCAAACAGCCATGAACTGGGAGTTGAAAAACTGGGCTGTATTCAATATTATTACGTAATTGATTATTTCGTAACTGAACTTTGGGCATCACTTTGCCCGTTTATGTGTTTCTATATATAATATGAGGAAAGTGGCTGGATTACTTTAGAGCTTTTAAACTTTGTATGCTAACACTAGATATATGAGAGAGTCATTTCTCCTATTCTAAGCCAGTTATCTCATCTATATTCTAAATTTCACCTTCCTCAGGAGTTTGGTTCTCTCTTCTCATGCTTCCAATTCCTCCTTCTTTATGGTTTAGATCAAAGCTGTAAAAGCACTTAAGTTTTCTCCTATTCCCTCTCAGGTTCAGCTGCATAATTTCTTTAGTTCAGTGATTTTCCAATTTCTATGTGTCCAAGAATTATCTGACTTAGTTTAAAATGCAGAATTCCAAGACCCACCCAAATAGAGCCTAATCCAGAGGGCCTGGGATGGAACATAGGAAAATGCATTTTAAACAATTATCACAGGTCATTTAAATGCAGATGGCCAGCAAACCATATTTTGAGAAACTCTGTAAATTTGCCCCAATCTTCCCTTAGTTCTGACCTCATATATCCAATTGCCCACTAGACATGTCAAACAAATATCACCATTGACCTCAAATTTACAGATTCAAAACCAGTATCAGACTGAAAAGAACAAAGTAAAAATGATCTCTATTCACAAATGATATAATCTTGTATACAGAAAATTTTAAGTCATAAAAAAGACTGTTATAACTAGTAAATGAGTTTAGCAAGGTTGCAGGATATAAGATTTGTTTAAAATCAGTGGTATTTCGCCCTGGCTGGTTTGGCTCAGTGGTTAGAGCATCGGCCCGTGGACCAGAGAGTCCCAGGTTCAGTTCCCCCTAAGCACATATGCCTCGGTTGCAGTTTGTCCCCGGCACCATTTGGGGTCATGTGGGTGGCAACCAGGAGATGTGTCTCACTCACGTTGACATTTCTCTCCCCACCCCACTCTATCTGAAGATAAACGCAAAAATAAATAAATAAAATAAAATAAATTAAATTAAATTAAATTAAATAAATGGTATTTCTATGCACTAGGAATAAAAAATTCAAAAGTAAAATTAAAAAAGCAATTGCACCCAGCCGGTGTGGCTCAGTGGATTGAGCATCATCCATAGACTGAGAGGTCCCGGTTCGATTCCCAGTCAGGGTGCATGCCCGATTGCGGGCTCGATCCCCAGTGTGGGGCATGCTGCAAGCAGCCGACTGATGTTTCTCTCTCACATCTATGATTCTATCTCTCTCTCTCTTCCTCTTGCTCTAAAAAAATTTTTTAAAACATATTAAAAAAGAAAAAGAAAGCAATTGCATTTACAATAGCATTAACAATAATAAAGACAGTGCAACATTTTCACATTAAAAACTATATAATTGAAAGAAATTAAAGAAGACCTAAATAAATGGAATAACATGGAAAGACATCCAGCATTCATGGGTTGGAAGATATTATTAAGATGGCAAAACGTTGCAAATTGATTTATAGATTCAATATAATCCCCATCAAAATTCCAGCTGCTCTCATGGCAGAAATTGACCAACTGATCCTAAAAGTCATATAAAAATGCAATGGACTCAGAATAGCCAAAATAATCTTGAAAAAGAAGAACAGCCTGGCCAGTGTGGTTCAGTGGACTGAGTGTGGTCCCAGGGACTGAGAGGTCCCAGTTCATGCCAGGGTTTCAGGCTCAATCCCCGGTAGGGGGCGTGCAGGAGGCAGCCAATCTATGTTTCTCTCTCACATCAATGCTTCTCTCTCTTTCTTCCTTCCTCTCTCTCTAAAAATAAATTTTAAAAAACATTTTTAAAAAAAGAAAAAGAAGCCCTGGCCGGTTTGGCTCAGCTGTTAGAGCGTTGGCCTGCGGTCCGGAGAGACCCGGGTTCGGTTCCCGCTAAGGGCATGTACCTTGGTTGCAGTTTGTCCCCGGCCCTGGTTGGGTCGTGTGGATAGCAACCACTCGATGTGTTGCTTTCACATCAATGTTTCTCTCTCTCTCTCCCTCCCACTCTATCTGAACAAAATATCGAAAAATGTCCTCGGGTGAGGATTAAAAAAAGAAAAAAAAAAGAAAAAGAAGAACAAAACTGGAGGACTCACTTTCCCCGATTTCAAAACTTACTACAAAGTAAACAACTCACATATAAAGTACAATCATGACATAAGGATAGATATAAAACAATAAAACAGAATTGAGAGTTCACAAATAAACCCCTACATTTATGGACAACTGATTTTTGACAGGGCTGCCAAGATAAGTCAATGGGGAAAGAATAGTCTTGTCAACAAATGATACTAGGACAAAAAAATATCCACATGCAAAAGAATAAATTTGGATTCCTAACTTCACACATATACAAAAATTAGTTCAAAATTGATCATAGACCTAAATATAAGAACTAAAACTACAAAACTTTTAGAAAATAACAGGAATAAATCTTGTCACCATAGATTAGTCAGTGATTTCTTAGATAGTAACACAAAAAGCGCAAGTGACAAAAAAAGAAAACATAAAGTGGACTTCATAAAAAATAAAAACGGTTGTGCTTCAACAGACACCATCAAGAAAGTGAAAATATGACTCACAAACTTGGAGAGAATACTGACAAATTATACACACACACACACACACACACACAAAATAAGTGACTTGTATCCAAAATAAATAAAGAAGTGTTATAATTCAGCAATAAAGAGACAACTCAATTAAAAAATGGGCAAAGGAGTCCGGCTGGTGTGGCTCAGTGGTTGAGCGTCAACCCATGCACCAGGAGGTCGCCGGTTTGATTCCTGGTCAGGACACATGCCCAGGTTGTGGGCCTGATCCCCAGTGCGCGGCACACAGGAGGCGGCCAATTAATGTTCTCTTTCATCGATGTTTTTATCTCTCACTTCCTCTCTCTCTAAAAATCAATGAAGGAAAAAAAAGTGAGCAAAGGATATTAATAAATATTTCTCCAAAGAAGATACACAAAAGGCCAACAAGCACATGCAAAGATACTCAACTTCATTAGTTATTAGATAAATGCAATGAGATACCAGTTCATATCCAACAGGATGACTACAATAAAAAAAGATAAACAGAAACAAATGCTAGAAAGGATATACATAAAATAGAACCCTCATACATTGCTCTAGGATTATAAAATAATATAGTCACTTTAGGAAAGTCTGGCATTTCCTCAAAAGGTTAAACATAGAGTCACCAAATGATTCAGCAATTCTGCTCCTACAAGAAAACTGAAAATATATGTCCACACCAAAAGTTGTACACATATCTTCATAGTAGTGTTATTGGAGAACCAAATTCCTCCCTTGCTAGTGGGAGGGGGGTCCTTGGGATGCAGTCTAATAAGCCTATTCCAAAGTCCCCACGAGAAGATGAGATGTGGTAAAATACTTTATTTGCACGAAATTATATTCCTCAGTTTCCAATGTCCCATTTCCCTCAAGCCAGTCCTGAAAGAAGGGTAACTGAAACTTTAGTAAAGCCAAAAGCAAAGTCAGTGACTAGAGTTTCCATTCCAT